TCGCTCGAAGGTGAGTACGAGCATCACCTGGCCCAGAAGGAGAGGACGTGGCCCGAGGGCACACAGAAGAAGGAGTGGACGTGCGTGCTAGAGACACACGAGAACGAGTGGACGTGGCCCGAGGGCGCACAGGGGAAGAAGGCACCGATGAAGGAATGTTAAGGGTAGCCTCCAAGAGAGCTTGAGCTCGCTGAGCTCTGTCCTCGGTGGATGTGGCTCGAGGGCGCACAGAAGAAGGAGCGGACGTGTCTGCTGGAGACGCACGAGAACGGGTGGACGTGCCTGATGGAGGCACACGAGAAGGAATGGATGTGGCCCGCCGGCTCACGGCTGCCATTCTGTCCCGAGCGAGCTGAACACGTGCCGTGCAGGCATCTCGTCTCTCCCGAAGGCGAGTTCGAGCATCAGCTGGCTCAGAAGGAATGGACGTGGCCCGAGGGCGCACAGAAGAAGGAGCGGACGTACCCTGAGAGGGTACAGGAGAAGGCTTCTCAGAAACAACAGAACGAATGGAAGTCCTTACCGTGGACACAGCAGGCTGCAGTGGGGCGGACTGCATCTCGCGCAAAGAACGGACGCCTCGATAGGCAGGCAAAGGAGTGTGGTGTCGAAGTCCGATGGCGGATGGGCGAGGAGAGGGAGGAAGGGCGTGACAAGAAGGACGTACCAGATCCTTCTTGGAGGAAAGAGAGGGAGGATAGTAGGAGCGGAGGGAAGAAGAAAAGGAGGGGAACGAAGAAGGATACAGACGGGCCATCTGGTCGACTCTTCAAGAGAACGGGCAAAAGAAGGGAGGGAAGGTCGGCAAAAAGAAATGAGCGAAAACGAGGGGATCAAGAGCAGTAAACAGCAGGGGATCAAACGAAAGGTAAGACGTGTTAGCAGGTACTAGCAAGAAATCACCTTTCGGTAAAGAGGAGAAAAAGAGAAGAAGGAGAGGAAGAATTGAGGGGCCGGAGAAGCGGTTTTGTTAATTCAGACAATCGTGTCGAGGAAAGAGCTGTGTAGATGTGTAGATGGTGTATAGGAGGAAGGAGGCCGGTGCCGACACCATTGTCAGCCACCGGATTCAGTCGACCATCTTGACTATGGGGCTTGGAAGCGCTGGTGAATCGAATCAATAGAGTAGCAACCATGAGATAAGGAGCTACATAGGTATGGATGAAGCGGTCCAAACAGATGGGCTATTAGCAAAGGTTCAAGATTGTATAACTCACAAAAATGTTACTATTGTGTCTCTAGAGTATACTGGGAGCTGTAGATGGAAGAACAGCCTCACTCTTGCCTTCCTTAGCAGTAGTTGCCATAGAACACAGAGATAGGATAGTCGTTGTCCTAAGGGCCTCGAAAGGAATAAGGTATACATGAATAGTAGATAGGTTGATGGTCAGGAACTAAAACGGGATATGGGATAATAATATTGACAAAGGAGATAAAAACGACATAGTCAAGATCGAATCCTAAGTTGTCTAGTTCAGGCTATCTAAACGATCTCCTAGTCAGACATACAGAAGGTTGAGGCGTTGCTACAAAAGAGCTGCAGGTACCTACAGCTTAGTTCCGATTGTATTCAAACAACCCGGTCAGAATCAAAAGCCAGGCATCTCTGTAGACCCACAAGCCCCACATTCTCTAAATCTGGGTGAAATTGTGGGTACTTTTCCGGAGGACAGTGAGAGTGTCCCATCTCAGATTTAACCTCGACGCTTGTCAATGTGTTCATACTAAGATCTGATTGCAATGCACCATAAGCATGAAGCAGAAAGTGATAAGACGATTGAGCATTGCTCATAGCGTTCCACAAGAGAGACTGCTTTGGAACGCGCTTGACAAGTCGCTTGTTAGAAACATTAGTAAATCCCGTTCCATACGACGGAAGACTATATTGTAGGTAGTGATTCAATTTCCATCGAGCCCTCCGTGGGACAAGATCTCTGATAGACTCTAACTTAATCGTGGCCCTGCAGGAACAGGAACCGATAATACTGCTTCAACCGCCTCACTCTCCGCTAGAAACGGCAGAACGCTCGCGACCTCGGGCGGGAATCTGGGATTTGGGCCACAAACAGCCCCCAAAAAGTGAACCGGGAAAGTGGTAGGTTTTGGCGGTGGCGGAAAACGGGGTAAAAGCGGCAACACTTCGATCAGTCCTTGGCTCTGCAGTTACACAGTCCCTCCAACAACAGTTGTATTCCAGAATCTGCATTGTCAGTCTTAGCTGATGTAGCCCTCGTGGCACATTGTAAAATCCTCTTCATGACCTCGCCACGCACCTACAAACAATGAAACAAGGTTATTGCCGTTGCCGTGCCGCTGGAGTCAGTGGCTCTACAAGCGCTTCAGAGCTCTCAAGCATGCTAGTGACACTGGAAGGCAATGTCTCCTCTGATGACTCTTCTTCTATCTGATGCTGTTAACCTCCCCGGGCTTTTTGTAGGATGATTACCAGCGACAGAATGTTTGTCCAAGCGCAGATCTCCGCAAGCGCCCTGTTGCGTGACCAAGCTTTATCTCCACCGAGCTAGTTGTCTAGTGCTTATTGCATCCAACCTCAACTCCAACGCCAACTTTGGTTCTTCCGGACTTCTTTCAAAATGAAAAGCAATTCATCCAATGTATTTTATACATCATAACTCATACAAAAACACGGTCAACGAAGACCCCAAACGCAACTGGACCGGCCGAAAGCCAAAAAGACCCCCCCCAACAAAAGGCCTCTCCTCAAAAAAAAGCGATATTGGTCAAGGCGGCTAAGTACTGGCTGCACTCTTATAGTGCTGAAGCTCATCTTTTAGGAGTTTGATAAACTTCGCCTGTTCTTTGATTACCTCGCTCTGGGTCTCGATGCAATTCTCCAGGGCGTCCAAATATTCCTTTTCCTTCTCAGCCTTCTTGTCAAGTCGGGCTTTAGTAATTGCATCCAAGTCTGGTAAGTTGTTGACTAGACTGATTGTTAGCTATCGTCTATTTTGATTAGACTCCTTGTTAGAGCTATACCGGGGAGATTGAGCATCTTCCTCGCTCTATATAAATCCTCGACATCGAGGTTCTTCAATTCCATATTTGGGATAGAGTTTCTATATAAGTCTCACTGATTAGATGTACATCTACATAAATATAGTTCAGGGAGAGAAATATAGCATACTTTCTATCGGTTCTAGCGCGGAACCAATGAATCGTGGCGAAGTCACCAAAACCGCCGGCGAAGCGTACAGCGAACCATCGATATCGAGTGGAGGCTTTTGTTTGTGATGCCGACGGTTCGTTAACGGCAACATGGACAAAGGAATACCGCGGCGGACGAGATGGAACGAGTTGTCAAACTCGATAGGAGAATTCTTTCTGAAAAGAGGTGTTTCAGCATCAGTATAGAATCCAGAGAGGATGGGAAAGAGAACAAACCAATCACAACAACATTCTTGATCAACAACAAGCCTCTGTAGTGTAGAATGGCGATGTGTATGAACGAAGTAGAGTCAAGCGAGGAGAACCGGGTAGGGCGGCTGGGGGAGGAAGGTGAAGTGTCAGGCTGGGTGAATATACGGCAATCGCCCGGATGAGAATGGAGGGAAGGAAGGGACAAGTCTGGTGAATCAGGGCTCGGGAATGGATGAGTGAATGGGGTGTCTACAGAGGCTGTCCGATTCCCTTATTGTGCGGGACCTACAGGTGAAGGTCAGGATGACTAGCAGTTGGGGAATGTTGATGGCTGCTCAGCGTGCTCGCAACTGTATGCCTTGTGGCACCCGTTTCAGGGCTAAGCTGGATGCGGCCCGCAACAAGGGAATCCATCAGAAAGCCCTATCTGTCGGGTATAGTTTGTCAGCATCTAGATTCAGCGACTTGTTATAGCCAAGCTGATTGGGACAACCGATTAAGCATATGCTCTGAGAGATAAAGAGCAGAAGGAACAGCATGACAGTTTGCACTCGTTGACTGCATTGTGGTTCGGCCGAATTGACCCAAGGAGATCAACACGGTATAGTTTGAGCATGGCTGCGCGGTCATTGGGGTTACAGTGACCCAGATGTCAACACTATAATTTCAAAGAACATGTCAAGGACAACCGTGGGCAGTATTGCTTGGTGGATACTTCCACATAAGCTTATATTTGGGTCCGAAAATTTAATCGAGACCTTGGTACTCGTCATGAGATAAGCTTATGGCTCCCGTGTGACCTTGTGGGACTGCGTCTAGGCCCTCGTATAGTGTCTCCTTTAACCCTAGGTCTCCACGAACCATACTGTAAGTGAATATCGCTATTCTTGGTGCACAGCGCAAGTCTCTTTACGTGGGACATTTCATTTCCACATGGATATATGGGCATCGAGCTGACCATATTGATCATCGGTGGAATTCCCATCATCTCGTGGTGGCATACGCCGCGCTCGGAACGCGTCCTTACACCTGCCGCGACCGTATAGCCAAGCCCTACCCGCCGGTTCCTCCCAAGCTTACCCGCGACCGCAGAGTGGTAGCTATACGAACTCGTTTGACACCACGGAACGCGGTAGTTACCAGCGATGGGAATCCTACTCTCCTCGTATTCAATCATTGGGACAACAGATGAAGCTCTGAGGAGGTTTTTGCAGCGGCTGATCTACAAGGCTGAGTCGTAGATGGTCCACGGCATTATCCAACCTAATCTGTTGGTGCCACAAGCACAACCCTACTTTTTTGTGGACTAGTACGAGGCCAAGCATGAAGAATGGTTCCTCCGATGGTCCAGAGGGTCCATTGTTGGTATTCGAGGATTGACCGATCTTACACGATTGAAGTGGATTCCGTCAATACGAAGGAGGGAAGGTCTTCACACGGCTCCGCGAACTGTCCAGAACGCGAAGAGACTGTTGACCCAGTTTGGATATCTGTCTAGATGATAGTCCCTGAGCCCTATAAAAAGGTCCATCCTGTCGAGGGTTTCGCTCTCCAATACTTCCCAGCTGAAGACCATTCTCACAATCCCCAAGCACAATTCTATCATAACCAAGGCCCTCATCATGCATCTCACCACTTGCCTCACCGCATTGGCCCTTGCCAGCACGGCCCTCGCGGACCCCGCTGTCCAGATCACCGATCTGGGATGCAATCTCAAGGATGGCAATGGCAATTTCCAGTTCGCCGACAAAGCTCATGCGATTATTACCAGCTCAGGTACGATACGCACCCTGACGTCCTCTCTTTGAGTATTGCGTAGTCCACAGTCGAGGAAGATCTGACGAGAACAGGCAACAGGAATCTGATTTGCAAGGCTCAAGTGGCTGCCCCAGCGAGTGGGAAGGCCGTGATCTACAGCGGCAAGAACGGGGACGGGTCCTGTAACGCAGCCGGCGGTTTTACGAACGACTGGCAGGAGACGGTCAGTGCCAGTGGGCAGGCTACGCTTACCTGTCATTTCAAAGAATGATAGTGTTATAGTGTATATACGCCTGTGCGGTCTCCTTTGGTATGGGGATGATGGTAATCGCGCCGTTGCTCGATGCTACGAGACGGGTTTGCCTGCTGCATTTGTTGAATTCTTGGCTTCAATTGAGTAACATGCTTAGTGCACCAGTTCTTTCAGTTCTGTAATTAACTTTCTAAGAATGATGGGAGCTTCGTATACCATTTGATTACAGCCATCGCGCAGGACTGCTAGAGAAGCTGAGTGGCTGCGATTCCTACAAGTAATTAGTCTGCGTAACAGAGTGGGTCATCACGGGCTTGGTGGCTGCCGAGCAGGAAACCGGCTTCGGACGCGCGCAGCAGAATTGAGTTGTGTATCCCGGCCTTATTGCGATATCCCGGTGTTGCTCTGTTTGTGATAGCTTTGTACTTAATGGACTCTGATCTACTAGTATTCTTATAACAGAGCTGGGTTTGGATGGACACCTATTCTCGGAAATTCTTTTGATAGCTGTAGCCGAAAATTCCTCGGGTAGCCTCCTGTAGCCAAGATACATTACATATCCGCCACGTCCTTGGTGGATGTGAAATAACTATAAGAGGAACAATAATCTCGATTTGTTTGGCGCGTTCCCTTCAAGATCTCCACATTATCTTACCTTTCACTTCCAACTTGAAACTATCTTCCACGGCAAATCACATGCCGTTATACTTGTCTATGCACACGAGGCGGTTTTGCTTTGTGTATATACAGACAGAGATGCGAGTCATGGCATCAGTTGTCATCCACCGTCCTTATATCGTCAGCATACTCCACCCTGCCAACATCGCGCATCGAATCCTTTTAGGGTCTTCTGCTAGTGATGTGTGCGGATCTTCTTCCCCGTAACGGGAATGGCTTGGGCTACCCGGTATATCCGAATCGGACACTCGATTTACCCAGAATATAGCTCATAGAGCGGTTAGTGTGGGATTGATGAAGAAGAAAAAGAGCAGCTGCATGCTGTACTCGGCGTTGCCATGGAGAAATCGATCATCGAACACCCTAAGGGCTCCGACAATGTCGAAGACCGTGAGGACCCCTATCCTGTTACTGAGAATACTGGCCCCGCCGGCGCTGGCAACTGGCGCCGCAAATGTCGTTGATACTGCCTAAGAGATTGTCTCAACAACGGGACCTGGTTTGGGCTTGGCTTTAGGCTGTGCTTCCCCAGCTTCGTATGCATTATTGTTTATGCCCCACGCTGCATAAATTATCATTGAAATCTGGGTTATTGACAACTTAGAGATCGACAACCACGGCGATGTTGATAGTACCTTCGTACAGCAAACGCCAACCGAGCGTTGGAGGGCGATAGGGCTGCAAGCCTGCTTAGGTAGCCCCACCACGTGGAGATAGACCTGATTGGCCCTGATACTTCTTCCGCCGCGGGGCATTCACTTACCCGCGATAAGCGGAACGCGGGACAGCTCTGTGAACTCCGCAAGGATGGATCTACTGCATGACAAGGATAGGTCGCGTTCACATTGCTATCCGATGCCATGTAGCACCCAGGCGGAGGCTTGCAGGCCGGGATCCCGTCCATTGGCGGTGTTTCGGTCTCAGCATGAAGAGGGTAGAGATCATGCAGCGGCGCGGCGCGTCTCGACGGAAAGGGAAATCAACACACCCCTCAAGCTGAATGACGCGCAGATCGGGCTATGATGTGGAAGACTCCTGGCTTCTCTGAGACAGAGCCTCGAGGCTTGTTTTCTGGTGCCTGATTGCCGTATACGTATTGAGGATTTAGCATTTACTCTGGTTCTGTTAAACCATCGACTAAAAAAGAAGGACGGCAGAGCGACCGCTGGCCCGTGTCAAGGGACATACACGCCAAAGGCTGGGTTGAGCTTCAGGATAAGCTGCAGTGTAACGTGCCACGTCACGGGCGATGATTTCATGATACAGGTGGGAGGAGGGGGAAGGAGGGGTACCGTCTATATGGAGAGCAACCACCTAACCATAAATACGACCCAATGTTATGCTGTTGTGGTTCGAAACTTGATTCCATCGCCCAGTGGCCCAATTTGACACGGAAATCTCAACTTACCTGTTCCATTCCCCCGCACAGAAACGTGCTCGACAAAAGACCAAGAATCATGGACCCCGACTTCATCCAGAACTACAAGGAGGCACTGGAGGAGATCAAGAAGCTAGATGCCGAGCGTACCAATTCCGAGAAAGAGAAGAAGGCTGAGCAGTACCTACGGCCGTTGTACGAGGAAGTTCTGAAGAAGAAGAACCCCGATGTCAGACGTCTCGCTATGCTTTTCACCGTTGACCTCCCTCGCTTCCTCTCTGTTCGGGGGAGTCACTTTCACACGGTGCTGACATGTCCTCCCAGAATATCGTTTACTCTTTGGATAGCATCCAGGAATGGATCCGATATTTCTACATAGCTGTAAGCTTGCTCTCCAAGCCTGCCTCCTTCTCGCAGTCCATGGTTGCTGATCAGATAAACCCCCTCGACACACGCAGGACAAGGACGCGAACGGTAAGCCGGCCTGCCCATCCGCCCAATCCCTGGCCACGGATCGACTCGGGCCGCTGACAGTCCTGCAGGATACGTGTCCGGACAGGAGCTGGTCGACGCCTCCGGCGAGAAGAAAGAGGACATTGCCGACTTCTTCAAGTTCTCGGATAAGAATTCGGACGCCCGGATTTCCTTCTCGGGTGAGACATTATCACACATGCACCCGAACGAAGACCCCCAGCAACTGCTAACTCTTGATTCCAATGCGCAGAGTGGGTCATCATGGGGTTCATCTGTGCCGAACAGGAGACTGAGTACGGTCGCGCCAAGAAGAACTGAGGGTTCTATCCTGGATAGGAATGGGCTGGGCCTTGATTACTGTGTCGCAACGACCTCGTGTCGACTGAGTCGGATAATAACTTGGCAACCCAAGCATGCGGATCACATTGCGAGTTGCGAGGGTCAAAGGGCAATTTCTAGAGACCGATGTCACATTCTGAGGGCGGGCTTGATACTCAATGCCTACGAGCAAGTGCGGCCAAAAGAATGGGAAGAAGTGGAGCCCGACCAGGCTTGTACACTTCTCTGTAGCTCTTTCTTTGCTTCATGCCTAAGGTTTCTCTTGCAAATAGTGAATGAATGGGACTACATATCGCAGGTGTCATGCACCTGATGATTTGTCCCCTCTCTTTTTGAAGAATAGCCTGCAGTTGCGTGGGCCCATCAGTACACCCTATACAATGCTTAGTAACCATCGTTCCGGACCGAAGCCGGGGCGCAACCCTACCTTGACCAATTCGAACTTATACTCGGGATCCCGCTGCCACTCAACCGCCACGAGCATCTCACAGAGGGCGATTTTCAGCACGGTGATGGCGAACTTACTGGCCAGACATCGGCGCGCGTGGGTTGTGAACGGCAGATACTTCCCCTTGACCTGCATCGAGCGAAACGTGTTGCGGATCGAGACCGGGTCGCTGCCCCAGCGATCGGGGTCGAATTCCCGCGCGGAGGGCCCCCACACACCAGGGTCGGTGTGCGTGCCGTACGCGTGCCAGCCGACCCAGGTCCCCGTCGGGAGGGGCCTGTTGCTCGCGGATCCCAGGCAGACCGGCTCGGTTGTGGATCGGTTGATCAGGTTGATGAGCGGCGGGTATAAGCGGAGAGCCTCGTAGACGGTGGCTGTGAGGAGCGGGAGCGCGTCGAGCTCGCTTTCGGCGTACCCGGCCTGCTGGTTGGCGGGCAGCAACGCGAGGACCTCCTGCCGCAGGCGATCCTGCAGTGTGGGGTTCTTCTCCAGTTCCCACATGGCGGAGTTGAGCACGATGTCGATGTTCTCCACCGCGGCGATGAAGAGCTGGTTCAGGTTGCCGCGGAAGTGGTCCTCAGATATATCCCCCCTCTCCAATGCGCGCCGCAGGCGATGGACCAATTTCTCGTTGTCGTAGTGTGAAGGCTGGTGGGGTGCTGCCGGGCTGGGGTCTTGGGAAGCGATCTCGGCCAGATTCCGGATGCGAGCTTCTAGGGTATCCACAATGCGGATACCGTAGTCGCCCGAGGGCATCAGCCACGGCCAACGCTCCAGACCCGGGAAGACACTGTACACCAACGCCTGCAGTTTCGTCGAGACACCACTCACGAACCGATGCATGGCCTCATGGACGCCTGGACGATGCTCTGCGATGCGGTCCGGACTCAAATCCAGGAAACTTTCGGCGAAAACCTCGATCGCCCAATCCAGCGTGAGATGCTGGATCTCGACCCCGGACCCTGGCTGGCATCCTTGCTGCAGCAGTAAGCTTTGGGCCAGCTGTTTTGAGCTTGATCGCAAAGGGTCGAGATCGAATCTGCGCTGGAGACTGGGCTTGATGATCTCCGTGAAGGAGTCATGAAGGGGGCCGTGGGAGTCGATGATGTTGACCCCGAAGATGCGGGCAAAGGCACTGTAGGGGATTTTCTGGATGTTCCCGCCCTTGATAAAGATCTCATCGTTGCGAAAGACCTGAGTCACCAGCTCGGGCCGGGCCACCAGCACAACCCATCGCCCGGCATGCCACAGATTCACGGCGCCGTGCTTCTCAATGATCGGCCGGATCCGTCGATCGTAAGATTCCGCTCGTGACAGCCCTGCGACAATGTCGTACAGCGTTTGCCATGGTGGAATTGCTGGGAAGTCGGGCGCCGGGAGGTTGTTGAGTGTTGTCAGGGTATATGAGATAACAGCGAGGCATACGGCAAGAATGAACACGGCTATGAAGAACATGATGGCGTCTGCAGCAGTGGCTGGAAGGTACAGAACGGCTGCTTGAGAAAGCAGCCACCAGGGCGCCTTCAGTAGAAATAGGTATCTTTCTGGAAGGCGAGCCCTTCACCGCTCATTCAGCTACGCAAGGTCAAGTTGGGATGACGACTACACATTCTCATGCCCGATGTAGAGGTTGTGTTCTACGAGTCATATCGGGTGATCTACACTGCATAAGAGTTCCGGTCCGTGACATACCATGACTCGGCATGACTCCTGGCCGTTAGTAGTATATGCTACCGGCCAGTAGCCACACTGATGCTATTAATGGCCATCGAGTGCTCGGAATGTGTCTTGAAATCTGTGGCATTGGCCTTCACAAGCGTTATTATCACGGCTCCATCGACCATCCTTGTCTAGGGTTAAGGGCAGGCTCTGAAAGAATGTAATGCAGGCATTGCTACAATATCCAGAATCGGGTTAGTTCACACAATCTGAATTGAGCAGTTTTTTTGTGGATAACAAATGATATACTTGCTTCATGTCAACAGTTACACGGCTTATTATCTTTTTGTTCCATGGTCTCACCACCGCCAATTAATCTAGCAGTACCTCTACCTCACAGTCAAGCAACAGAGCTTCTAGGATCGAATCTGATACGAAAATACTAGATTGTCGCTCAACTGGAGAGAATCCTGGAAAAATTGTGTGAGTTTATCAATCCATTGTGCCCGTCAACCATCAAGTACCCGAAAAGAGCCCGGATCCCGTCCCTGGTGCCTCTCCTCAATGCTCCACTCGACACATCCTTTTGCTCTGGGCTCTCTCAATGAGCCTCGTGGAGTTCAGCTACCGACTTTGCACAGCAGCTAGTGAGATCAAGAAAACAGGGCTACGTGCTAATCGGAAACTAGTGTATTCCCAAATCGGGGAGATCGGTCGCATGCCCTGGGCCCTGACGCGGGCGCGATCGGCTTGTATACAAGGGCGCCGATCTGCAGCTTCATTCATTCCTGTCTATGAACCCTAATCGAAGCTGGGGTAGGGATAATCCAGCGGGGTCAGCCGCCTTTACTGGACTGTGTGCACAACATACAAGAGACCAGGAAGCTCTGTCCTGCACACGACGGTTTAAGAAACAGGTGCTTTTCATTTGAGAAGAAATTCTCTGGAACTGATATCCAAGCCAAACCTTGGTGAATATGCGAATTGGCACGGCAAGCTAGGGTGAATTTAATGGTGTTCTCAGAAACCCTCTTCGTCTCTAGACCTTGTGCACTTTGTCAGAAGCATTCACTTCATGTACCAGCGGCTCCCTCTCACTAGGACAATTAAATTAGGGAAGTTATAATATTAGGTCCACCTTGGCTACGATCATTCACAAATCCACATCCTACCAACTCTTCCAGACATGGTTTTTCCATCATAATTGCCTAGAATCGCGACACAAGGAACTTGTCTGTATCATCAGACTACTGCTCGAAAACGACCAAACCTTTTGATTGATTACCCATGGCTCAACCGTTGTTGCCCCCAGGGCACCGCTACCGCATCTGGTCACCCGTGGCCGACCTCCTCAGTGATGAAGGGTACCGGACCCTCCGACCCGGCTCATCCAAGTTTACCCTTTTACCTGGACAAGTCCAGAACTGGCCCGACTTTGCCAAAGAGGTCAAAGCTCTTCTCGCGCCATACTGCGGCAACTCCGAGTCCTTCGTCCCCGTGGTGCCCCGAGAGGTCTTTGAAGTGGCGAACGAGTTAAGGGTGCAGGGCCGCCTCGTCCAAAACGCCCTGCACCCGGTGGGTGAGGTAGCCGACCTGCTCAAGCTTGGGGTCCGCTTTGGGGACTCCCAGTACGGAGTGAACAGGCTCCTCGTAGAAGCCAAGAAGCAGGTGAAGAGAGAAGTCAAAGCGGATATGAAGCGAAAGATAGGACAGCAGCAGCAGGCGGGGGACAAGCTTGTTCCCGACGTGGTGATCGCAGACACCACGACCCATGCTATCCGCGGCGTAGGCGAGGTCAAGACATTTTGGAGATTTGAGCCGCGGAAGAAACAGACCTGGGAAGAGTTCATAGCCGAAAAGCTCGGTGAGTATGGCGCACAAAGTGATGCGGCTTTTCTCCCGAATGCTTTCTCTCTCATGCTAACCGTTGTCTGTGCCGTTCCAAAACACAAAAAGGCCAGCTTGCCAGATACATGGATGACAACTACGCCCGGTTTGGATTCCTTACCATCTACCAAAGGACGTGGTTTGTCAAACGTGTCGGCGACAACGCGTTCGCCATGTCGCCCCCGATCAGCTCGAAAGCCGGCTCGTCAGCCACCGAAGTCTCCTTGCGAGAGTGCTTTTTGGCATTCGCTCTTAGGGCTGCGGATGCCACTGGAAGCAAGTATCACCGAAGATACGGCCTTGTCCTGGTAATTTCTGACCCTTGTAACTTACCCCATCGTAGCCTTGATTCTGATGCTGTGGACAGACGAGTCGCGGCCGCGGTAAGCGGGCCTTACCCGGAACGGGCCGTAAGGCGAACCAACCGGGATTCTGAGAGGCTCCAGAGAGTCGATTCCCCACCTTTCTGAAGAGACTTCCGTTATGGCAAGCACTGCAGGATACGGTGGTGTAAAATAGAGCCAAACAAATGGGAGCAAACACGGTTCTTCGCATCGTGTGGCCGTATCTATCCCGAGAGTGGGGCAAAGAATTGTCACGTGCATAATGTCTTCCATAAGCATCTAAGATTCGACCATCGGTAGAGCGGGCCCTGGGGCGGGAGACGGATCTGGACTTCCGGCAATTGTACTGCACTGTACTAGGCACTGTACTAGGCGTAGGTGGGTAAGGATGGTGTGGTACACAATTGGCCAATCATGCTTGATAGCTTCCAGTGCTTCCAGTGTTGATAGCATCAATCGCCTCAATGGCCTCGAGGTGCTCCTTGCTGAAAAAGCATTTCAATGCGGCAGGGAGGAGGAATATACAACTGGGCAAACCACAGGTGTTGCAATACCCGCGGGTGACTCCCCTGGCCAACTCGTTGCAAAGCCCCCTTGATTAGCCCCGGTAGAGATTTTCTTACATAAGCCCAAGGCGGTTCCTAGAGGATTTCCACGGTTGGGTGATTGATACGACAGTCTCCAGTGAATAGGTTCCGATGTTGGTCATTATGATGATTTGGTGACTCACGCTGAGCTTGACCCAACCACGGACAATTTCCTTACCTGAAGACAATCAATTCACCAGCAGTCCAGCAGATACAGAGATACAGAGACTCCCCAGGCAAAGCTACTGCCTCTTCAAATATTCGCCTTACTTGTCTGCTTCATATATTACAGCCCCCAAATCGACCTCACTCCCAACTGACCCTGTCCTTATTTCATCCCAACAGCTCGACACCTTGTTACCCCTTTTTGCCCAGGCCAAGCAGACCATTACCTCTGGTTGTCTATCTCCATTTCGACCACACAACGACACACGCGGCGAACATCTCACTCCTCCCAGCATGTGGAGCTTTGACCTTGAGGGACGCGTTATCACGCTGGGCGAGCGAAAGCTCCGGATCGAAGACCAGTTGACCGAGGTCCTAGACCAGGAGCTGGGTGAGCGCACCCTTCTCCTCAAGGCCAGAAACCTGGAAAGCAAGGCGGTTTCTTTGGTTCGGATGCGCTATCAGCTAAACCCGCGGGGCTTCGAGATGGACACCGAAGACGCGAGGAGGGAGGTCCGGCAGATCGCGGAGCACGAGTTTCTTCACGAGTGTGACGCTGTCAAGCTGCTGGGTGAAGCCGGGCTGGGACCAAAATATTTCGACCACTTCATGTGCTCCCAGCCGAACTGGATGCCCTTCCCCAGTGGATATGGCCACTTCCTGGTGATGACGGTGCCCCCGGGTGAGAGCCTCGAGGAGATCAGCGACGAGCTCACCGATCGCCAGCTGGACGGCATCCGGACGCAGCTGGCGCGCATTCTAGAGTGAGTTCGAGCGGCCCCTTCCCACGACGAAAATGAATCGTATCTTGGCTCCAGAAGATTTGGCTGACAAATTCCCGGTTTGGTTTGCGTACAGGCTACTACGCGAGAACGGCCACAAGCTGGTCGATCAACATCCGAGTTATCTGAACTACGAGGTCGGCACCAACAAGCTCTACCTGGTCGATCTCACCCACCTTCGCGGAACCGACCCGACCAGCAAAACCTCGTTCCCGATCGACGAGGAGAGCCCGTACGTGGAAGCGTTCAATCTCTGGCGTGCACCGTATCGGAAGCCTCAACAGGGCCCGAAGGAAGCGAGCAAGGCGCCGCCGCGATCGGGAGAAAAGTCGACCGGAAAGACACCATCGTCCGATCAGCCCACCAAGAAGGAGAATCGCCCCCCATGGAGACATTGAAATTTCAGACGGAATTGGCGAGCACTAGATGGGACGCCGCTTAGACCTTTGAGGTTTCATCTTTGTTGCTAGCTCACTTACCATACTTTCGCACCGCAAATCCAAATGCTGATTGAATGTTATCCGAGTCCTATTGACCTAAGGAGCCGAAGCTCAGCGTGTCTAGTCTGGCTAGCTGTACAAGTGGTTTTTTTTTTTTTTTTTTTTTTTTTTTTGGTTCCTCAGAACCTACCAGGTAATCAGAAACCTTGAAACGCCCTGGATGGGGTAGGACCTAGGATATAGATATATCTACCCTGCGCACACACAACTTTGAACTGCTCTAGTAGCCTTCTTGGGTTATCTCCTCATGTTATCTGATTTTTACTTCTTTTCTAAATTGCTGAAATTCTGGGACATTTGACAGCAATCCTGCGGCCTCGTCCAGGCTGCCGCTCACCGCCCACTTTGACCTAATCGCATATGCATTTCTCAACTGTTTAGACATAGCTTAAAATCACCATCCATCCCCTCCCGCCCAAGGGACCTAATATATAACATTAGCCCTACACCTCTGTCAAAGGCAGCACCAAAGCGGACCGCAACTCCCCCCCAGTATGCACCACATGCCTCCCCCGATTCGCATTTCCCACGCTTCGATCCAGCGCCGGATACTCCGGAAGAATCGGATCATGCCCCTTGACCTCCAACCGTAACGTCTCGCCCGCCGCAAAGACAATCCCGGCCGGCCAGATCGGGATGCGCAACTCGACAATGTCACCCTGGGCAACGGGATCCTCGCGATCATGTGGGAAGAACAGCTCCGTGGGCTCGCGCCGACTGTCCGCGTCGTCCACATCCCCAAGATCCGGATCCACCGGGAGGGCCGCGCGCTTGGATGCGCGCAACCGTCCACTCGGTCCGACATATTTATAGATATTTTCGTCGGGGATGTCGTCCGGGCGGGACTGGAATTCCGCGGGGATGTTGTGCTGCAGTAACGGGGTGCCGTCGCGGTCGAGCTTGCGGAGGATCACGTAGACGTCCATCTCCGGGGAGGCGGGGCAGGACATGTACAGGCGGGCTTGGGAGGTGCCGATGAGTTCGGTGGCGGTGGGGAAGGTGTAGCTGAAGTGGGCGCCGTCGTCGTCCCAGCTGTCGCTCTGGTAGGAGGCTGTTGCCGATGGGAGGTTGTCTTGTGCTGGGGTGGCAGACGGGATGAGGGAGCGGGTGGCCGCGTCGAGGAGGAAGGTTTCGTACCGGACGCGGGACGGCGGGTAGGCGTCTTCAGCCCGGAAGCTGATCGGGGGGCCGTGGTAGCGCAGGAGCGACAGGCGCACGCGGGGGGTCTGTAGCCAGCCGTTGTCCTTGCCGAGGAGGAAGTGGTCGAGGAAGCGTTGGAGGTCGTCGTTGGCGAAGGGCTGGTAGATGTCGAACCATTCCTGCGTGGGGTGGATGCGCAGCCTGCAGGGGGGAGTTAGGGCTTGCGTGGGCTTCGGTCCCAAGGAAATGAGCTCACCACTTCTCTTTCGCACCGGCATACTTCCACGCCCGAATTGACCCCTCCGTGTGCAGGCCCGTGGAATAACTGGCCAGAATATACATGGGCACCTCGATATCCTGCAGCCGCGGGCGCTTATCCTCCCAGTATGCATTCATGTGGGGATACTTGTGAATCATTGCGACGACGTCTTCCCGCTGATTCTTCCCTACTCGCCTGTCAGCCACCGTCCAACTCACAACGACCCCCTCCAATGATTGTATTAGAATTACCATTAAACTCCCGCATCAACAGATCCCAAAACGCATAGTTCGGAATCCCGCCACGACAGATACTCTCGCGGTAGAAGTCCCCAATGCCCTCCCAGGGTGCGATAGCCCTCAAATGCGGAGGTCTTTCCGCGGCGATGAACCTGTTCATTTCCAACGAAGACATCCATCAGCATCGCTGTCACTCCAGTGCGCAGCACAAAAGCGAAGCAAAGAAAAGCAAGACAGACCACTGCGCCATCCCCAACCACGAATTCCCGACGAGCGCGACGTTCCCATCACACCACGGCTGAGCCGCGATCCACTCGACACTGTCATACCCGTCGCGGCCCTCCTGGGTGCCCATGACAAAAATATCGCCCTCGGAATCGAAGCACCCGCGCGCGTCGACGTTGACCACGACGTAGCCCCGCGGACACCACTCGGCCGGGTCGGGGGCCTCGAATTTCTCCAGCCCGCTCAGCGCGCTCTTGGGGACGCCGAGCCATTGGAAGTGCGTGGTTTGGTGGTGCCCTTTATCTCTTGGGTGAGTTTGGGGAGTGGGAGTGGGGGTGTTGTCCACCCCAATGTCGGTGATGGGAGGTACGGGTGTATTGAAGGGAGAAGACAGGAAGCAAGGACGGAAGGCCAGACGTACCACTGCCGGTCTTGCCGTAGGGACTCCACGGGAGGAGGGCCGGAAGACGCTTAGTCTGCGCATCGGCAGGGCGGAAGATATCCCCGCGCAGGATCGTGCCATCGCGCAGGGGAATGGCCACGTCCTTTTCCCAGATGATGGACTCCGGCAACGCCCGGCGGTCGGGCTCACGTTGCCAGCCTTTGGGTAACACGGTCGTGGAGGGCTTGAACTCGATCCAGTAGTTGTGGAAGGCGCGGTTGGACGGGGTGAAGGCTACGTCGATGCCGGCGATTTGGTGCGACATGATGAGAGGATGAAGAGACTGGCTTGATCAGAGATTTGATGCCTTTTGTTGATTCGGGTGCAGGATGTAAGAACAAAATTGTTGTGAGGCTTTATCCAGGTACACGTCTCTATGTATGTGCAGCCTCTATGCACACGACCCACCCCCTCTACATCCCATCCGATGGGGGAGACTGTGGATAACCCAACATCAAGCCAGTGTACATTCCGTTCCGCCAGGTTAACTTGTAACCTGTAGACCCGAGAGCACCGATTCAACATTCAAGTTCCCCAGATCGCGCATGAGATTCCTCAAACCCTCCAGCAAAGGGGGCGGATTGTCCGTTCCAGTCTCTTGATCCTGACGATATAACACCGCACACACCGCCTCCATGACCGCCCTGACATCCGTGATGGGAATAAACTGTCCTACTACGTCCTTCTCCTGCTCTACTCTCTCGTTCTCCGCCACCATTACAGCTGCAACATCTCCCCGAATCCCTGGAACTCCGGTACCTAGACGTACAAAAGCTGAGGAGGCAGGAGATTCCACACTATCTAGGAAGATGAGTGGCTGGCTGTGGGAAAACCCGCCCGATCCGAAGATCGGATTCGTTCCGCGCACCATCATCATCAGCCCGTACGTCCATAGGGTCAGGCTCGCTTGATAAACCGGGACGGCCCAGAAGCCGCGCAACAGGTGTGGCGTGGTATCCGCCAATATGCGCGCGCACCGTAAGATCTGTCCCGCCTGCCAGACGCCTGTTTGTAGCTCTGGTCGCTGCATCATATACTGCGAGAACAGAGGGGTGATTGAAGCTGCTGCCTCAGCCTCGCCCCGTCGGCCGGCAAATTGCTGCGTCTCGCGCGGGGAAACGGCTAGCGCCATGAGACAGAAGTGCGCAACGAGCTGGATTTGCACTTGCACCTGCATATGTGCCTGCACCGGCAAACCCTGACTGGCGAGATTGGGTGTGTTATCGTTGGGGTTGTAACCGGGGATGTGGCTGCCGCTCCCGCTGGTGCAGTGGGCTGACAACTGGGCCGCTGCATTCTGGATGCGCTGCGTCAGCTCGGCAGACTGACAATGCAGCCACAGCGTCGTCGTGGCAGCTGTGGGAGCCGCTCGACCACTATCGTGCTCAGCACTGTCATACTCACGGCCCGTTGGCCAGAAGAACCGGACTGACTCCTGGTACGACCATATCTGCGGCCACATGCCGTGCACGACCACCAGCGCAATCAAATCCTTGTCATAATAGACAGGAAGACGGCCCAGAAGTTGAGGATTGAGACTGATCTCAAGCCAGCTCGGACAGCAGCCAGGATCCTGCGATGGAAGTTGCATTAGTTGGTGGTATCGGGACTTCCACATGGTGGCTGAGGGAGCGTGCCAGAGTTCCCGTGACGCAGGCAGGGGACACACCAACTCGCTGAAGGAGGTCGCCGGCGGGCGGAGGTACGCCATCGAGCACCGCATGTCCGTGATGAAGGCGAACAGGGTGGCACTGGAGGATTGTGGATCAAGCCGTTAGCCGGGTGCGCCCTGTTTGAGTTTTGGCATTCTCTCTCGGAAGCAGTCTTACCGCTTGAATGACTCCTCCGTGATCCACGCTCGCCACTGTTGGTCCAGCGCGTCTTCTCCATCACCCTCGGTTGGCATGGCCGGTGGTCTATACCGCGATCGCGAAAAACATCCATGTCGATGAAGCATCTGCGGGATGGTCAGAGACGCTCATTGTGATACATATGGAAGAGTAGAGGGTACCGACCGTGATTGGGGCATGAAGAAAGCTCTCAGCGACTTCCATGTTGCGCTTGAAGCCACTCCACAGTCCCATCGACACCCACAGGAGATAGGCTTGGATAGTCTCCAGCTGTCGGACTTGGCTATTATCTTTCTCAATCTGATATTCATGTCAGCTACTGGTCGTCATTCCGCCGGTAAATCCTTTTCCTTTTCTTTGCTTCCTCACAGCAAGGGCAGGGACCTGAACGCACCGCAGCTGACAAAGACAGTCTTGCTCGTTCCTGCAAGGCATAGCCCATGCGACGGATTGGGGAGATCTGCGTATAGGAGGCCCCCGCCGCGATAATCGTGGCGAGGAGTTCCGGAGTCGTCTCGATCGGAGAAAACGAGGGCCCATGGATCCACGCGGTAACGTCGCTGATCTGTCTTCGGAAATAGATCTGCACGAGGTGTTCCAGGAACACTTCCGAGGGAAATGATAGCAGCGGTGTAGGGCCGCTGGAAGAGGTCACATGGATCATAAGAAGGATGCGGTCGCGGCTGCCCGCAGTCACCAGACCCGCCGTCAGGGGATGGTGAGGGTGGCACTGAGAATCATGAGAAGGACCATTATCGGCATTCGCACTACCCGACTGTCTAGCTCGCTGCAGGAGAGTGTTGACAGCCCCGTCACTCACTCGCAGATCTTGCTGCCCTGCGTAGGCGTTGTCGGACTTGTGTGGGGTCCATAGCCAGGGTGAGCGCTCAAAAGACTCGAACCGCGAACTTGCCGGGCTGGAGTAGTGGCCGCCTTCTGCTGCTGCTGGTTCCAGAAGCTGAGGCTCCTCCGGCAGCGTCATGAGGGGGAGGGGCTGCATCAACATCTGGAGCGATGCCCAGTCCAAATCGATCCCATCGAGCTCCGTGCAGTCGACTTGCGGAAGAAAGGACTCGGGAAAGGAGTTTCCCCCCAGCGAGCCTGGGAAAGGGGGCGGAAACGGGTCTCGGAATCCCATCGCAACATCGACATCCGGCGGCGGGGAACCGTGCACGATCCCTGCGTCGGACCCCGTAAAGATCGCATCGCCTCGATCATGCCCTTCCGTAGTCATGCTGGCTGGTACCAACGGTGGAATGCAATCCTCACTTTCAGGGGTGGGCGGAGGTGGCGGCTCATCGTCCGTCTGGGGCGTGCCCATCGACGACGGAGTAGAGGTGGAGGCATCCCTGGGGTCTCCGGTCTCCTCTTCTCGCGAACCTGTCGCCATCCGCGGCGGTCGCTTCCCCGAAGGCAAACAGGGGATCTTCCGGCTGATGCACCGTTCACACGGCTTTTTATCCCTGCATTTGGTCTTGCTCTGCACACATGCTTGGCAGGCGCGGCTCACCCGGGCGGCCGCCAGACGACCATCGTGCTTCCCTTCGTGGATGCGTTTATGCCGGTATAAGAGGTCTCTACGGAGGAATGAAAGTTAGTCTGCTAGCGTGGATCTCGGGAGAGAGGTAGCATCACCCTCGATTGAACGCTTTATTGCAGTCCGAGCACTGGTAATGTCGCAGGTCATCATCTGGCGTTACTGTCAGCGACCGTCTCTTAGACTAGGGCAGGGAGAACACACGTGACTGCAGATGGCGGAGAAAATGGTCCGACCGCTCGTAGGTCCGATCGCACCGGTCGCACCAGAGCTTGTTCCCCTTTCCCATCCGGCTATGAGGGACTGAGCCTTCGGTTGCTGACATATCCGGAGAACTGGGAAGGGCGAATTGCTTGCAGAACGGCGGTGATGCTGGCAGAGGAAGACGAACGGATGTCTGGGGCCGGTGGAGGAGAAACGCGGGGGAGATAAATACGCACGGTGGCCGCGGGCACAAACTGCGGGGAAAGCAGCCACGACCGGGTCTCGCCGTGCATTCCCCCACCGGAAGACCAGAGCCGGGTGAATCGTGTGCGAAATGAACGTCACTCTCACCGAATCACACATATTATATGAACTACACGCCAATCCCAGCCGAACTCAACCGATCATCTCCCTTAACCCGCCACACCGCAACAGCATGCCTCTAACCCCAGTACACTTCTTCTCGCACGGCTCCACCGCCATGTTAGGCGAGGAGTCCGACTCGGCCGACTACTGGCAGAGATGCGGCCAAGCGGCGTTGGATAATGGGATCGAGCATGTGGTGATCATGGTCTGCATCCTTTCCAGTATCTCCCACGCCCCGTCCCAAAATCAAACTAAGAGAAAACAGGGCGCCCACTGGGTCACAACCGGGGACAGCATCCAAATCGCCACGAACCCCACCCCCGCCAAGAACCCCATCGGCGGCGTGCACCCCTCCAAATACGTGCCCTACCACCTCAACCCGGACCTGCCCATGTGCAACCGCGTCCAGCAGCTCCTCCAATCCGCCGGCTTCAACGCCACCCCCAACCCCACGGTCGACTGGATCCACGACATTTATCTCATTCTCATCCGCACATTCCCCAAGCAATGCCCGCCCACCACCGTCCTCAGCCTCAACGCCCGCTTCGACCCGCACTACCACCTCCGCGTCGGCGCCGCCCTGCGCCCGCTCCGCCATGAAAAGGTCCTGTTCATCGGCTCCGGGGGCACGGTACATAACCTCTACCGCAACACGTGGGGGCCGCTGCTGCGGTATGCGGATAACTTCGCGATGGAGGCGCCGCCGGGGGACTGGGCGCTGGCGTTTCGGCAGGAGATGGAGGATGCGGTCACCAAAGCCGCCAGGAAAGGGTCCGGGGTGGGGCTGCGGAAGGCGGTGACGGGGTTGTTGAAGGTCCCCAGGTATCGGGAGGCGCATGCGACGGATGATCATATTATGAGTTTGATGTTCGTGGCGGGGCTGGTGGGCGATGTGGAGGATACAGGTGATGCTGGGAGTGAAGGGGTGGAGATCGGGGCCGAGGATTGGGAGTTGACGAATATGTGCAATACCCAGTTTACCTTTGGGAGGTGGTAAGATTTTGGGGAGGTGATCGGAGAGGATGTGCGATATATCATATATTTACATTCAAACTTAAGGAAGCCTTGTGTTACAATATGATTCAGATTTTGTGGCCGAGTAAAAGTTGACTGAACTAGGATCTTTGTAATATTGTGCATTAGAGCAACCTTCTACACACTCTGATTGTATGTTATACATTGACATGTATCTCTACTACAAGTCAATCGTATGTTGTGGGGGCAGGGGCTGCTGCGGTACGTCGTCCGTTCCACATGAGGGTCCAAGGAGAAGTAGTGGTGATCTATATTTTTGGTCCACTTCACTATCACAGTATCATTAGTGCAGATATACCATTGCATTAAGTAGTCAATAAAATTTACTAGCGTGAGATCAATCCATTCAATTAGTATCAAAGGATTCGATCATCATGACCATCCGAAGACTGAGAGTGCCAGTAGAACAAGGAATTTACAGTGCAGTTTGAAGTGTTCAATTCCTTCGGTCACGTTCAGAAGATATACGTATTGAGACAAACGCAAGAGCTACCATAGTGACCTTCCACAAATCCACCACTAGGATCCAGAAGCCAAAGTAGTGGTCTTGGAGGTTGTTACGCATCAAGAGATATTTATTTCTGCTATCAGGCTGGGGTTGATTGGGTTATAGACAGTTTTCGACAAACTTGAAATTCAGGGCTACGCGTTAAAGCCTCAAATCAACAGCATTTTGCTGTGCCGTGTCTTCTCTGAGGATAGAATAAATCATCGGACGGATAGGTTGAACATACATAAGTTAAAGAAAAGCCTGGTTTTGTATCTACACAAACGGAAGAATCACACGACTGGGATACCTCCCCCCAAAGTGGACCTGATGCTGTCCGCGATTGCGCACCTCCACCTCCGCCTTGGCGTACTTGCCCTCCTGGATCAACGGATTCTCCCCGGAGACCTGCACGCGCAGTGACTCCCCGGCCTCGTAGTCAACGCCCATCGCCCACAGCCCGATCTCCAGCTCGACGACCGTCCCCGGAGTAATCTTGTCCACTTCACTGTGTGGGTGGAACGGGTACTGGGGGTGCAGCGAGCGCGTGCGATCGATGGCGCGGTGCGAGGCGCGAAGAACCCCCGTGGGGCCGTAGTAGATGGTCAGGTTGCTGTACTCGTCACGGGGGATCGCCTCCACGGTGGGATAGGGCGCGGCGGAGAGCGGAATGTTGACGTTGATCATCTCGCGGCCGTGCTTGTCCAGTTTGCGGATCAGCACGTACACGACCATGTCGTCGAGATCATCGCAGGACATGTAGAGCACGGCTTTGGGCAGCCCCATCAGACGCGTCTTCTCAGCAAAAGTATGCACAAACCCGACATAATCGACCGGACCCGCTCCGCTCTTCTCCGCGTTGTAAACCACCACGCTCTCCTCCTGCGTCGGCGAGATCGCCAAACGCCCCCCCGAACCGAGGAAGAGCTCTTTGTACTCGGTCCGCGGCAATGGAAAGTCCTCCTCGACGATGGGATACACCGGCTCCTTATTCCCAAACCGCAGCGCGCTCATGCGCACCCGGGGCGTCTCCTCCCACCCGTTCTCCTCGTCTTTCAGATACCGGGTGAAAAACGCGGCCAGCTCGTCGCGCGACTCCTGCACCGCCCACAGATCGTACCACTCCTGGTAGGGGTCCCAGCGCAGCCACTTGTGCGGCGAGTCGACCTCCGTCCAGCCGCGCACGGAGCCCATCGTGTGCACGAAGCTCGAGTACGAGGCCACCACGTAGGTGGGGATGCGGATCTTGCTGATCTCGGCGCGTTTGTCGGCCCAGTAGGGGTTCATGGTCGGCGAGCGACGGTACATCTCCCGGAAGTCCTCGAGCCCGTGGTGGCCGCGGATGGACTCGCGGGTGATCAGGTCGAAGAGGCCGTTGTCCCAGGCGCCGCCGCGCACGAACTGCTCGCGGTACAGGTCGGCGCACGCCTCCCAGGGCGCGATCGCCTTGAGGGACGGGGGCCGCGTGGCCGCGATAAACCACTGCACGATGCCCAGGTGGGAGTTCCCCGCCAACCCGACGCGGCCGTTACACCAGGGCATCTTCGCCAGCGCCTCGATCACGTCGTGTCCGTCCTCGCCTTCCTGGGCCCCCATGATCACCATCGACCCCTCCGAATCCCCGGCGCCGCGCGAGTCCACGTTCACCACCGCGAACCCGCGCGGACAGTACTCGGCCGGATCGGGCCCTTCGAACCGCTCCAGTCCGCTGAGACACCCCGCGGGCACGCCGCAGCCCCAGCGGACCTTCTGCATCATGCTGATCCCGTTGTGCTTCTTGCCGAACGGGCTCCAGGCGACGATGGCGGGGACTTGGTCGCCGGCGTCGCGCACCGGGCGGTAGATGTCGCAGTAGAGGGTGCAGCCGTCGCGGACGCGGATGCCCACGTCGTGTTGCACCACGAGGTCTTCGCTCAGGGCCCGCGCGCTGAAGCCGTTCCAGCCCTTGGGCAGGATTTCGGTCCGGGGGTGGAAGCCCTGGTACCCGTTGTGCCCGACGGTCGGGGGGCGGATTTTCATCGTCGCGAGCTGCACGGGCGGAGGCATGGTGGCGAGGACTTGGATGGTCGAGTGATGACACTACTAGAGAGTTATGTTGCATGGCAAATGCGTCTCGTGAGTGACTTTAAGAAGCCTTCCGCCTGGGAATGCTTCGTCTCGTCCCTCCGACCGAGGCTTGCGGCATGTCCCCTCTGGGTGTTAGGGCTTCCGGTGGGGGATGACAAAGACATCCGACGGGTTGGGTGCAACTCGCCCGAGCTCACCCGGGGGGTTCTGGCCACAGGCCCGCATCGCATCTATATATTCACTCGAGATGATTGAACAGCATGGAATGAAAAAGTCTCCAGACACATCAGAAAGCAAGCTTGAACAGAAAGTCACTCTCAAAGAGGGAATCAAGTTCATCTTCTACAATCCACCCTCCCATCTACAAAACAAACCACAATGACCGTCCCCGAGAACACCCACGCACCCACGCACTACGGCGACTGGCGCGACGACTTCTACCGCCAGGGCTACGTGGTCCTGAAGGGGGTCATCCCGCGCGAGAAAGCGGCATACTACCGGCAAAAGGAACTGGACTGGCTGCAATCCTTCAACCTGGGACTGGACCTGAACGACCCGACGACCTGGACCGCGGAGCACCTCCCGCAGAGCTTCAAGGCGGGGATGTACCTGAACTACTGCGCGGCGCACGAGCGCTACGTGTGGGAGGCCCGCCAGGAGCCCGCCATCCTGGACGCGTTCGCCCAGATCTGGGGCACGGAGGAGCTGCTGGTCTCGTTCGACACGATCAACGTGACCTTCCCCGGCCGGACGGACGTGACCTGGGCGCCGTGGCCGCACGTGGACCAGGCGCCCGAGCGGCCGGGGCTGTCGTGCGTGCAGGGATTCCTCAACCTGAGCGAGGCGGGGCCCAAGGACGGCGGCCTGCTGCTGATGGAGGGGTCGTCGGCGCACTTCGACGAGTTCTTCGCGCTGAACCCGCCCGACCGCTCGCAGGGCATCGGCGCCAAGCACTACGACTTCTACCCCTTTCGCGAGGAGCACGTGCGCTGGTACGAGCAGGAAAAGGGCTGTAGGCTCGTCAAGGTGTGCGCCGAGCCCGGCGATTTGATCCTCTGGGACTCGCGGTCCATGCACTACGCCGCGTTCCCGGAGCCGGAGAGCCAGACGATCCGGACTATTATCTATGTCTGCTATACGCCGGCGGCGCTGGCGACGGAGGAGGATCGCCAGAAGAAGGCGGAGCTGTTCCGGCGGTGGGAGACGACCACCCACTGGCCGCACTGCAACATCCATGGCCATGGGAAGGCGAAGATTGGCGATGAGGTGGACCCGAACGAGCGCGATGAGCCGCTGGAAAAGCCCGTATTGAATGACCGGTTGTTGAAGCTGGCTGGTGTAAAGACTTATTGAGCCCTGCCCTATTCGTTGCCAATGATGATGAATTCTGTCCGGGTAGTCGGCTACTGAAAACTCGAATGCAATCGTGTTATTGAACTATCTTGTCTATGCAGTGTGTATCAGGTATCCTGCCTCTGCTGTACCTCCCCTCGTATGGAAATTACATGCCCTATTTTCCGATCGTTGCAACGATATGCCGGCCGAGCAACACGTAACTTGAAGTTAGACAACTGGCCGCACCGATTGGAATCCCGGACAGATGGAATCGGCGCACAACCTACTTTGAGCTGAGTCCTCAATCGATACCTCGGGGGGAATCGATTTCCGAGCGGGGGCTGCGACGGATCAACAGTCTTGGCTCTCGCGTACGGAATCCAATTGCAAATTGGAATCTCACTCTCGCACTCCACGCTAGATCTTGGGCGTCTTCCGGAGTCGAGTTCCCCGCGTTTCCCCGCGTTTCCCTCCCGCGCCACCGAAATAATGCCTCACCCTCACAGATACCCGTCCGTCCCCCACTTCATCCGTCGCTATGCCCGGGCCTCAGCGTCCAGGATTTTCAGAAATCACCGTGTGTCAGTGTATCAGGGTCTGTAGCCCTGACCACGTACGCCTATACCCGTGCTGACAAACCCGCATTTATGACGGCTACACTCGTGGGCTTGGATAGAATATCAACCCTAACTTCCCAGCCCGCACTCGCAGAGCATTGTTCCACCTCGACCATCGTTGACTGCTTCGTTCTTCTATCCTCATCACCCTCAGCCTCTCATCATGGATGACCACAAACCCACCGAAACGTTCGTGGAGGTGGCGTCGCCCGACGGCCAGCCACAGGACGACAAGCAGCTCAAGCCCGAGCCACGCCTCCTAGGGGCCGTGAAGCTGGTGCACGAGGGTGAGATCGTGCTCGTGCCGCAACCAACAGCGGATCCACGCGGTAGGCCGTCCCTTCCCAAGAAGTGGCCGAGGACGTACTAAGCTCTGGCTGATGATAGACCCACTGAATCTCCCCGACTGGCGGAAGTGGTTGATCCTGTTCATCGTGGCACTCTGTATGTTCAACCCAAGAGAGCCTTACCCCTGTCGGGGGAATTAGGGCCAGACACTCATCTCGATGCAGACGCAATGACCGGAAACCTCCTCGCCAGCGGCATCGGAGTGATGGTACCCCTACTGAACACGTACTACGACAACGACCGCCGGGTCAACGACCTGGTGACCTGGCCCTCGTTCTACATGGGGCTGGGCAATCTGATCGCGATGCCGATCGCGGACACCGTGGGCCGGCGCCCGGTGTACCTGGCCTCGAACGTGATCCTCATCGCCGGCGGGATCTGGTGCGCCGTGTCCCGCGATCTGGGGTCGCACATCGGGGGCCGGGACTTCATGGCGCTGGCGGCGGGCCAGAGCGAGGCGCTGTGCGTGCTGATCGCGGAGGAGACCTTCTTCCTGCACCAGCGGGGCAACCGGATCGCGTGGTTCTGCTCGCTGCAGACGCTGGGCACGGCGGGGTTCATCATCGCGAGCTCGTACCTGACGAACGCGCTGGGGTGGCGCTGGTGGTACGGGATCTTCACGGTTGTCAGCGGGGTGACCTTCGTGCTGAGCGTGGTGTTCGTGACGGAGACCAAGTATGAGCGCAGCGCGGCCAGTCTGTGTGAGCAAGCACCTTCTCCCCATCCCCATCCCCATCCTCATCCCTACCCCCAATTCCACAAATCACGCACACTAACCCCAACCCCAACCCCAGCCGGCCTCCCCGACTCCCCCAGCGCAACCCCGCTAACCGCGCGCCAACACCGCACGCGGGCCCTCGACCGAACCCCAACCCCAACCCTCACCACCACCGACCTCCTCCCCTGGTGCCCCACCTTAACCCCCAACTACCGCCGCATCCCGCAATTCTACAAGCACCTCCTCCAGCTAACAATCATCCCCAACATCTTGTGGCTGATCCTCACGACCGGCGCATTACTAGGAACCTACATCGTGATGTCCGCGGTCTTCGCGCCCGTGCTCCTGGCCCCGCCCTACTCCTTCTCGCCCAACAACCTGGGCCTAGTCATGGGCTCGCAGGCCATCGTGGCCTTCGTGGTGCAGCCCCTCGCCGGCACGCTCAGCGACTACATCCTCACGCAGTACGCCCAACACCACCCGGCGGGCCACAGCAACCCGGAATCCCGCCTGCTGCCGGCCATCCTCCCGTTCGGCGTGGCCATCGCCGCGTGCATCATCTTCGGCAAGTCGTGCGCGTACCCCGCGGAGTGGAGCTGGGCCGGGGTGGTGGAGGGCATGAACGCGCTGTTCTACAGTTTCGTGAGCATCGTGGTCACCGCGTTCGTGTACAGTATGGATTGCTATCCGCGCCGCGGGCATGTGGCCATGGTGGCGCTGTGTGCCGGCCGCGGGTTTATTGGGTTCGGGATCAGTTTTGGGACCAGTGCGTTTGTGGACAGGGTCGGGTATGATGGGGCGTTGGAGGTTTGCGCGGTGGTGGTGGGCGTGTTGGCCGGGTGTGGCGTGGGGTTGTTTTTTTGGGGCGCGTGGGTTAGGCGGGTTATGGCCAGGTGGGTGGGGGATGTGTAGGGGTGAGGTTGCGTTGGATCGGGGGGAGGGGGGAAGGGATAGGGGGGTAGGATAGGGTTGTGGTGATAGTCGGTGACGGTGGATGGAATGTGATTCCTGAGTGTAGGAGCTCTCCTGCCTTGCTTGAATCTGTGTTCTTTGGGGATCGCTTGGGTATTTGGGAGGCGTTCGGGGGGATAAGTGGATGTCACGTATGGCTCACAAGATGAAAGAATGAAGGCAGATTTCTTCTCACAACTAGACATGCGACAGATAGTATACTATAGTACTGTACTGATATCTGATATACTTGTTCATCGCACGTTCAGGCATTGCTCGATGACAGGTATATTCCCTGTGGTTACCAAAGTAGAAACATGGAGGCATAGGAGGGTGCCGAGAAGGACAGCTACTTGGATCTCTTTACAATGTAGATAGGAGAGCATTGAAAGACCTCTTCGTTATCTCTCTTCTGCTAAGCTATTCTAACAGAGATTCCGCGGTTTTTGTTTTGTGGCTACAAATGCTCTTTTGCGGCGAGTCTCCCGTCCCTTCCCAGCAGTCCAAAGTAGAATGTACAGTTGAGAACCAAGAAAACACCCTGTTGAAGCCAATATTTTGTTCAAGGAAGATAGTCAAATTATCCGGATCAAGGAACCCAATGTCTCTGAACTAGCACCATCTCCAATCCAACCCACTCCTCGTGTCAAACGTTTCAAGACTCATCACCAGTTTTCTGCTCGTCTGTCACCAGCACTGTGATAGCCTTATCATGGTTGCTGAACGGATCGTTCACTGCTAATCTAGGCTGCTTCAGGCCGTGGGTGTGTGGAGCTCAACTGTCAGCATCGGGATATCTGATTTCGATTGCATCAGAAAAGCTAATATCCTCTCCAGTCAAATCTGCTCCTCGTGCCACATGCTTCAAGTCTCTTCGTCAGCCTTCTGCTCCTGTGTTGCCAGCATTGTGATCTCCTTATCGATGCTATCGCAAAGATCGCTCAGTGCCAATCTCAACTTCCGAAGGCCTGCCGGGCACTGACAGGCTAGGAGCGCCTGCCTGTAAAGATCCCCTGTGTGGAGCTCATCCGAAAAGCTTAGCGCTTGGTTCATGATCTGCTCCACCGTCAGGGACATGTAACGAGGACCCAGTATCTCTTCGACGCACTTCTCCTCTTTGATAGCCACCGCACAGATATCCACGAGAACGGATTTGGACGAGTTGAGGAACGCTATCACGGACCCTGCGTTTTGGAGAAAGGGCGGCCCTGAGTTACGGATGGATTGCGCACTTGGCTCATGCAGCCGCCTTTGTGGTCAACGCAGTGGAATCAGGAGTATGATTCATTTCTGATTCATGGGCGAGAGTAACCAAAAAGTAACCGCATACCACTTTTGCTCTGCTCCGAATGGCAACTCTAAGGGAACTTGGTTTTCCCCATCAGGGGGATTCTCTGCACAAGTTCAAAGCTTCCCAGATCCTCATCCGAAACAGGGAAGCAAGGCATCGGAATCAGAATCGGCGTCATTCTTACCCCATGTTGCAAACTCACCAGCTCCGCTTAGCGCGAGGACCCGATGTAAGAGCCATTGCATCTCTAGCAAAGGAAAGAAGGGAAGTGGGCAATCCTTTGGATCATCCTTACGGGATATTAGGACTCCGCCAGAGGTCAGTTTTCTCCATTTTCGCTTAGCATCATCCCACCTTGCGATTCCCGGTGTCTGGGAAAGGTCAGGGATATTAGAGCGCCCGAAGGATAAATTGTTCGTGAATCGAAATTTGTCAAACAGGACTCGTTGCACCCTGCGAGCGGTCTTATCTGGATTGACGTCCAGCGGCTTGAGCACAAACGCCGCCATGTCCCACATTCTATGAACATGTGCGTTGAGCGTAAACCGATTGGCACAATGCGATCTCCTCGGCTTTCTGCTGCAGAAACCCTTGTCTGTTTGGTGCTTCCGGTTGGGATTCTCGCCGTCTTCCTTTTCTTAATCCACGTGTCTTTTGTGGCTCGCAACACGCGGGGCGATTTGGGCGCCGGAGCGACATTCCCCTGGCTTGGGTGGGCCGAGTCCGATACCCGTTTTCTGGGATCGACCTCACATTGCTGTGGGGCAGATAGGCAGATCTCACTGCCTAACCATGTTCTCAGCATCGGATGGCCTTCTCGGGCTTTCTGAAGAATCCGCTTCAACCTTTTCATGTCTGCGAACCATAGACAGATCATGGTTGGCGAGTCTATGCTAGTCTTAAGTGTTTGACTCAACTGGGCCATCGCGCCTTCCCTGATGGGTCCAAAAGCTTCTCAAATATGACGTTTCCGTAGTCGAGCCTGTCTCCGAGCCAACACGCAAGCCGAACTCGAACAATCTCTTTGTATGAAGCTCCCTTGGTGCCACTCCTGCAACAGTTTGGCTTGTAGTTGGCTTATACCCACAGAGCTTCGCAGGTAAAGCCAAAGCAAGTTCACACAGTGGATATAATCCAATATCCATGGAATTCTCGCTTAGAACCAACTTTTCCCTGTATCGCAGGATCTGGAATGCTCTGTAAAAGAGCTCGTTCCCCCGAAGCACCAGCCGACTGCCGCGATATAAGCGGAAAGGACGATCGTCCTGTGGCCAGATGCCGAGCAAGAGCCGACGTCCATAGACGATGCCTGAAATCCGACATCCTCGGGCTGCTAGACTGTCAAGTTCCGCCTTAGCCTCTGCGCTCACTGCCTTATTGTTCAGGGCGATGTAATCCGACTACTGCTTACTAAGAGTCACACCTCCTGTCAGCGTGTTCGAAGCTATCGCCCCATGTTTATCCCAGACATCGGGTCGAGGCTTGAAGAGAGCGAGCTCAAACTGAGTACCGGCAGAGAGAGGCACTCGAGCAAGCGGGAAGCTATTGGGCTCCGCGTTCTGGCCATTGAACTTCCCATCTGAAGCAATGTCTCTGACCTCTCTTGGGTCTGAGTTTGTCCTCAGAGTAAACTTGAATGTCAAGAAAATGCCTGGATCCGTCAGGACTCTTGCGTCCATAGACGAATAGGCAATCTCGACGTACAAGAAAGCTCTGCTGGCCCCGCAGCGGATCGACCACCCCTGCCTAATGCGACACTGTGTCAAAAAGATGAGCAAGTCAATCGCAGGTTTCCACTGGAACAAGCAGGCCATCTAGGGAGGCTGGAGGCAGATATTTTGATGCTCCCTCCACCTCTTTTGCCCCAAACAGTTGCACTCATGTTGGCAGAACTAAGCTCGCCAGTAACAAGACCTTTTCCCAGAACGTGATCTCGAATAAAGCAAGTTTTCTCGGGCGGGGATACCACAAGAAAAGCCGACCCATCAAAGCAACAACCGAAAGGTAAACGTGGTGGGAACTGGACGTGATATCTGTTTGCAGGATGACAGTCAGCGAAACTCAGAAGGCGAAAGCACACGTTCTCCCGACCAGGAAAGATGCAATGGGGGTATGGGATTTGGCATACAGGATGGGGCTGGAAATAACGCACTAGGAATAAGGAGCTACGTTGTACAGACCTTGTGAGGCTTGTTAACGGTCTTTGGCCATCGAGTGAGTAGCTATTGGTTGGATGGGCGAGGGTGAGAGTGAGAAGGACAGTGATGGTGATGGTGATGGTGATGGTGATGATTGGGAGGATGCGCAGAGAGAGGAAGTAGAGAGATGAAGTGGCCAGAGGAGGTGGAGAGAGAAGGAGTGGAGAGAGAAGAAGTGGAGAGAGAAGGAGTGGAGAGAGATTAAATGGAAGGCCAGAGGGGGGGGGTGAAGAAAGGGAATTCAATACAAAGTCATTCAATTCAATGCAAATGGATGCAATTCAAGTTCTTTTCAAATCAAGTTCTATTAACCTGAGGAGCTCGCCGGACTCAGTCACCTATTAGGGCTAGGTGTGGGAGTGGTGCTGAGACAGCCACAGCTCGGAGTGAATCAACCAGTTAACCAGGCTGCAGTCAAGGCTTAGGGCTCTGCGCAGTTAGTAGCCATTTTTTATTCACAAAAGTCTCTTTCTCGGTCCATGGCCCGTCCCCTCCTCTTTCCACTACAGACCATTGTCTGGAATGTCAAGTCAAAATGGGCGAGAAAGCTATCAATCCCAAACTGCGGCCCTTGGGCTACGGTAGTCAGGCCGCGCCCGCCACAGCCCATGTTCGTAGTTTCTCCGACGTAGTCCCAAATGCTGTATTCAGCACATATGCACATATCCAACAATCCATTAGAGTCAAGAAGGCAGAATTAGAAGATCCCCTTTGTCAACAACGTCCACACTGAGAACCCCGTCACCGATACGACCGGTATAACAATGAAGACAAACCCCACCACAATACCCTGCTCGAAGAAGCCCATCGAAGTCCCAGGCCCCTGCCCGGTCTTGGGGAGCGGCTGGTTTACATTCTTACTCAGCGCCGCAAGCAAGTGCCCTTTTCTCAGCTCACTCTCTCCCGCCTGGATCGTGGTGATCATCTCCGGGCGCGGGCGCGAGAGCATCCACGTTGTATAGCGCCTGTCGACGGGGATTATGCTCTGGTCTGTGGCTAGTGCGGGTCCGACTGTTCTTCCATATCAGCTATTCTTCGCCCTAAACAATGAGCGAAGGAACGGGGCGACACTCACGTAGCATGGATTGGGGAATGTGGTTAGCGAACGTGGCGTGGCTGTTGATCTGCTGGCTCCAGTATTTGGCCACGTCGGGCGTGGAGAATAGATATGCCACCAGCAGTTCCCTTCCGAAAGATCAGACCATCAGCAGAATAGCCCAGAGTTGACAAGATCAAACCGCGGCGGTTGGGTGCAACATACCTGTGGTCCAATGTAAGTACGGCGTCTACCAGACCGGTCACCGTGAACAGCAGCAAGTGAGGTGATCCACCACCCTCCTGCATCAATCGCTGCGAGGTATGTGTTCTGCATGCACTGTCAGATCACCAGCCTAATGGATGTACCCGGCCAAGGAAAGGATCCATACCCGGCTTTAATATCAAGCACCGTCAAACCTTCGCCGTGTATGGTGTTGATCTCTCCCTTCCGCTCCGCCTCTTCCATCCACATGTCGACCTGCTTTCCCTTCCCTGCGATTTCCTTTCTGGATACATCACGTCCAGAACTCGAATGTCGCAGAAGTGCTTCCACAAACGGCTGCTTCACCCATTCATTGACCACGACAATGCGCGGGTGGTGGGGCGAGCCGCCCCCATAGGCCGCACGCGCAGCGCAGATCTGTCGGGCAGCGTAGTCCGCATCCGCGGTGCGATCGACAAGGGCGGCGCACGGCAGGTCGGTTCTCGCGCGGATGCATGGGCCGTCTGCCAGTTGGCCGGTTTGGTCAACCATCAGCGCTGTGGAGAGCACCTTTCTGTGACTGTCAAGGTCGTCCACCAGGGCATAGATCTCTGAGTCAAGCACGCGGAGAATTGTGGGGAGAAGTCGGTCCACGGCTTTTGTCGTGTCGTCCTGTCTCACAAAGCACACGAGCGAGTTAATTTCCACTACACAACAGGCTACAAAGCCAGACGCCAGGAGATGATACCTGCACGACAACCGTATTCCCCGCCGCAAGCGCGCATGCGACCACCGAGAAAATCGAAAATAGCCGCGAGTGCTCGGTCGGCCGCAGCGCGACAACCCCGAACCCTACCCGCCGCGCGGGCGAGGACTCCCCACGCGCGATCCGATACTCGGTTGCCAGAGCGGTGCTTAAATCGAGACTCGTGTAGGCATGTCGCACATCCAGAAGCGCCGATGCAAACTCGACTTCGGCCTCGGTGGGATTCACTCGGGGATTATCCGCCACAACGGCCGCCAGGATGTCAGCGCGGTGGGCGCCGAGACTGTCATGTAGAGCGGCTAGTTGCGCTTGCTGGAATCGGACGTTGGCCATGCGGCCGTCTTTGGCGGCGGCGCGGACGCGCGCCACTTCGATCGGGGTGGCCATGCTCTCTGGGAACAAGGTGGGTGGGAAGAAATGGAGCTACAACATGGGAACCGATGGGGCCAATACACGCTATATCAGCTTTGGTGCACAAGCTTGACTTTTGGTTGTGCTGATCGGGATGGGCTGTTTTCCGATTTGTCTACTTCCCCCACCGGAACCCGTCGTTCGGATATATAGCTTCGTCCAGATTCTCTTCGCAACCCTCACAAGCCCAAACACACACCACGACACAAAGCACCACGGTTAAACCCGACTTCAACATGCCAACTAAGACCCAGACAACCTCATCCACCCACACTCCCCAAAGCTACCACCTCGTCCTCACCGGCGCGGAAGACCCGCTCCCCGTCCGCCTGCAAAGCCGACAACCGCAAGTGCCGAACCCGCCCCACTGGCCCTCGCACTACCGGCGGGTGCCGCGCTACCGCCCCGTCAACCGGAATTTAGACCCGGCGGAGCGACCCAACGGCTCCAACGCGGCGGAGTACATTTTTGTCAATGTGATGTTGAACGGGGTGCGACTGAATTCGGTGGGTCATCCCAGAGATGCTTGACAACGTTGGTACTTTATAAGTTCTGACCGGAAATGTAGTTGTTCGTGACTAGCTATGAGAAGACGCTCGGGAAGTTGTATCCGGGTCTGACGCGGTATGAGATCGGAGGGGAGTGGTGATGACCTTACGGAAGGGGTGGGGGTTGTGGATGGTGGAGAAACGGCGGAAGTCGAGCCCTAATTTCCGTATCAAGTTGCTGGGGGGGGGGATATAATCTACCTACAAGCGCTACTACTGTTACGAGACAAATTCCCGATCCCTGAAGCTAATTGAGACTCCTTGTCCACTTTCTCTCTTCAAAACCACGGATTTCAGTGAAAATGCTTCCTGACGTGAGCGAAACCCTACTCGACGAGGAGAACCACCTCATCTTCGAGAAGAATGTATCCGTTCCACTCAAGAACGGAGGCCTCGTCCGCTGCAACGTGTATCGTCCAATCGAGGAAGGACAGTACCCCTGTCTGGTGACATACGGTCCCTATGGAAAGGACATTCCCTACGAGAAGTACACCTCCCTCCCTGGCTGCATCTCAATAAGCTGAAGTCTGATCGCCGCGCACAGGTTCCACCCCAAGTCCTTCTCCGAAGTCAACCCCGCCCACAAATCCAAATACTCGGCGTGGGAAACGCCCGACCCCGTCTTCTGGACACACCACCAGTACATCGTCATCCGCGCAGACGAGCAGGGACTGGGGCAGTCGCCGGGAACGCTGAACACCATGTCCGCGGAGACGGCGGCCGGGTTCGCGCAGGTGGTGGAGTGGGCGGCTGAGCAGCCCTGGAGCACGGGCAAAGTGGGCTTGGTGGGGGTCAGCTACTATGCCGGTAAGGTGCTTTTCCTCCTTTCTATCCTCGCATGCTGACCGAATCTCCTGAAGGCACGCAATGGCGCGTGGCAGCCCTCAAACCCAAAGGCCTCGCCTGCATCATCCCGCACGAAGGCATGTCGGACTACTACCGCGACCGCTGCCGGCACGGCGGCATCCTGTCGAACCGGTTCATCTCCTTCTGGTGGAACCGCCAGGTGATCACGAACCAGTACGGGCGGCCGGATCGCGCCGCGGCGGAATGGGGCGACGACCCCATCGACGGGGCTCTGTCCGAGGCAGACCGCCTCCACAACCTCTGCGACCAGAATACCGACAACGCGGCCAACCGCTACCTCGACGACGAGTACTACGCGTCGACCGTGTTCCGGCTGGAGGACATCGAAGTGCCTGTGCTCTCCGTGGCCAACTGGGGCGGGATCTCGCTGCACCTGCGCGGCAACGTCGAGGGGTACACCTGGGCGGGTGCGGGACGCAAGTGGCTGCGCTTTATTGTGGGGCGCCACGATCTGCCGTTCTACTACGACGAGGAGGTCAAAGTGCAGCACAGCTTTTTGGAGGCCTTTCTCCGCGACAATGACTATGCGGGGTGGATGGCGGGGAAGGTTGCGCCGGTGAGCTTGACGCTGCGCCGCGGGGATGTGGGGTTCAATAACCCCGTCGGGGAGCGGGCGTTCCCGCGCCGGGAGGAGATGGAGTGGCCGCTGGCGCGCACGGTGTATACGCGGTACTATCTGACTCCTGGGGGAGGGCTCGATGAGAAGTACGCTCCTGCGGCGGAGGAAGCGGCGAGCCGGTTGACCTACGCAGTGGACTCGAGTGGTGCCAGCGATACAGCAATGAAGCTGCAGTTCTCGACTGCTCCTGCACCCGCGGAGTTGGAGGTGACGGGCCACATCGTCGCCCATCTGTGCGTCTCCGTGGACTGCGGAAGCACGCCCCCTCCGTCGGACCTGGAACTCGATGTCTTTGCCACTCTCCGCCATTTCTCCGCCGCAGGCAACGAGGTGCACTACACCGGATCCTCTGGGGACGCAGTCCCCGTGACCAAAGGCTGGCTGCGCGTGAGTCTCCGCAAGACGAACCCCGAAAGCCCCTACCATCGACCCTATCTACCCAGACGAGAGTACCGGTCCGTGGATGTGCTGCCAGTAAAGGCGGGTGAGATCTATGCCTGCGACGTGGAACTGTGGCCCACGAATGTGGTGGTCGAGAAAGGCGGGCGGCTGGTGTTCGAGGTGTCGGCCAACGATACGGAGGGCTCGGGGCTGTTTCAGCATAATTCGGAGGTGGACCGGTGAGTTAGCCTTTGACTGTTTCTCTAGGGGTGAGAAAGTGTAGCTAACATGCAGTAGACCTCCGGCCAAGTTCGGACAGACGAACGCGATTCACTTTGGCGAGGGGCAGGAGAATTGTTTGGTGCTGCCGGTTATTCCGGCGGAGGGGGCCTAGGTTGAACCGTGTTCCCTGTAGCATTCCCTCCTGTGCCTATTACTGTACATCCTAGGGTTAAGGACATCGTTCCGGCTTTGACCTTGGCTGGCAGAGAGAATCACATCGCTTTCGGATAACATATAGAAACAAATTGAATGTAGCCACCGTCGCCATAGTTTACCGCAACAGGGTTACAGTTATTGGGTATATGATCCCCTATTTCATACCGATTTGTGTGTTTCCTAAATACTCCCACCAAGACTTGGATTGTACCTCACAGTAGAACATCTTTACTGGAACTGCGGTAATACCAGAATCCCCAGGAAAGAGTACAGCGCACCCCCTGGTGCCAATGCTGTTACTCACTGTACTTGAGTCTTCAACGACGACTCAACTGCGCCGTCCTTAATCCCACCACTGCACAGCCCACGGAGCAAGCCTCCACAAACTCCTATCCCAAACAAGAGCCGAAACCAAAAAGAAAACACCTAATGAGGCGCCACATCCCCAAACGGAATCTCCTCCACCGGCACCACCGCCCCAATGCGACACCCGTACTCCACCGCCACCGCCAGCGCAATCGCCTGCGCGAACGCAATCTGCTCCTTCGTGCCTCCGTGCCGCACGACCCCGCGGGCATGCCACATCGCCTGCACCGGCGACCCGCCGCAGACCAACGCCGCCAGGTTGCACATCTGCGTCTCGACTGGAGACAGAATCGTGTCCTCGCTGATCCAGAGTTCGTAGATTTTTTCGAGGTTGAGGAGGTCTTTCCCTTGCCATCAGATACCGATTGTAACCACTCAAGATAGGAAGTCAGCTTACATAGATCCGGTTGATACTCGAAATTCTTGTCCCGGTTGGCCTGCGCCGCCGCGGGCGTCCACAGGGTATCGAAGTACTCCCTCGCGCGGCGCTGGCGGTCGGCGTCGGTTTCGCCGTTGGCGAGGGCTTCCGTTCTATCTCGGAACTGGCATTAGCCTAGGTGCATTACTGTCCACAGCTGGAAGAGAGGGGCTCGTGGGAATGGCACTACCTTGGCCCGTAGTGATCAATCTGCTCCTCGCGCAGCGTGGCAAACAGCGGCAGCAACGCCTGCAGGGAGCGGGGCACTCCGTACAGAATACTGGTCTTGAGGATGGCCTCCTTCAGCCGACGCTGGATGTGTTTCTCTTCCGACAGGGAGGTGTCTTCTGTGGCCAGCTGGTAGAGAATGGTGACATCCGGTCCGGCTCCGGCGGCGGCGAGGGCGACGGCTGCGATGGTGTACCAGTTTTCTTGGGCGCCCGGGGGGCTGGTGTCGCGGGGACGGAGGGTGGACAGGAATTCTCGGTTGGTCATTTCGGACTATTGCGTACTTTGTTCAGAGGTCTAGTCTGTGGTCGGGGTATTTTGGGGTGGTTTTATTCGTTGGGGTGCTGGCTCGGATCCTGTAGGCGTCGGAGGGGACGGGCCCCCACCGGAGAAAAGTGTTAGGCAGATTGCAGAGCGTGGAAGTATATTTTTGAGGCATTTTCATGCTTCCCACCATGGAGTTCACCAGCAACAACACCCTCTGCCACGATCATCCGCTACAATCTTTTCTCCGGAACCCGTCCTACCTACAATCAACCACACCCCCGACCTGAACCCCCCCTCCTTCCTGCAACCAGAATGTCCACCCAACCGCTCCCCCCAATCCGCCGCATCGTCACCGGCCACAACGCCTCCGCCCGCGCCACCATCTGGCGCGACAGCCTCATCCCCGCCGCGCAAGCTGACCACGGCCCCTTCCTGACCCGATTGTGGTCATCCGCGCAACTCCCACCGGACGTCAACGGGGAAACGGATCTCGGCCGCGTGGACACGGGGCTCTCGAACGACGGCACGATCTGCCGGGTGGTCGACTTCCCGCCGCAATCGAAAGGGATGGTGCACCGGTCGCTCACGCTGGACTACATCTTCGTGGTGGCTGGGGAGATCGTGCTGACGCTGGACGACGGGTCGCGGACCCCGGTGGGGGCGGGGGAGATGGTCGTGCAGCGGGGGACGATGCACGGGTGGGACAACGAGACGGATCGGTGGGCGCGGTTGTTGTGCGTGCTGATCAGGGCGGAGGCACCGGTCGTGGATGGGAAAACGCTCGAGGCAGAGGTGCCGTTCCAGGTTTGAGGGGGCTGAGTTAGGGTTGATGGTTGGTGGTTGATGTTCCCAGCCCCCACCTTCTCCGGTGTATGTACTGTACTTGAGATATTTAGTTCGAGTTCTGGTGTTTATCTACCGAAGATGACCAAACCAATCGCAACTCTACGTTCACCTTTATGCACAGACAGCTAGACGTTCATCATGGCAATTTCCCAGAGACAGCCCCTGCGCATCCTGATCACCGGGGCCGGCATCGGCGGGCTCTCGGCCGCGATCGCCCTGCGCCAGGCGGGTCATATTGTTGAGGTCATGCCCCCGCCCCGGCCGCTTTACCTCACCATTGCCGCAACAATGCAGAATCAATTGATCGGTGCTGATATGCGTCCTGCAGATCTTCGAATCCTCGCGCTTCGCCACCGAACTCGGCGCAGCCATCCACCTTCCGCCGGGGGCGAACGGGATCCTTCGCCGCTACGGCATCAGCCCAGAAGACTTTGACTGCATCGATGTGCAGCATGTATGCCTCCACCGCCCCCTTTTCCCCCGATCAGCGTCGCAGACACTAACAAATAGCAAGGTGACCGTCTACGACTCACAAGGCACAGTCAAATCAACCAAAGACCTGCGCGGTCTTCGCTCGCTCTACCCTCACGTACGTCCACCACGTCGTGCCTCTCACCTCCCCTAGACATAATGACTGATCCGGGTATCAAGCCATGGCAATTCGCGCACAGAGTCGACCTCCACGAAGCCCTGAAGTCGAAAGCCACCTCCCCCGAGGGACCCGGTACACCAGTCACGATCCACCTGCGGAGTAAAGTCGTCTCGTGCGATCCGGCCGCGCCGTCGCTGACGTTGGCGGATGGAAGCGTCGTGGAGGGTGATCTGGTGATTGGCGCGGATGGGGTGCATGTAGATTCCCCGTTCCCCGTCGCTCTTCCGGTGCAGGGGGGGCACCGTTTGTACCCAACACGACGGTTACTGACAATCGATCATACAGTCTACCCTACGAAGCATCATTGCGCAGGAGGACGGATCACCTCACCCCTCGGGCGGCAGCGCCTTCCGGTTCCTCATCCCGGTCGCGGCCATTGACGCGAACCCGGCCACCAAGGATCTGGTCCCGCGGCCGGGCGAGTTTCAGCTGTGGGATGGGACGTACAGACGGTTGGTGATTTATCCGTGCCGGTAAGTGTGCTCTCACTGTGTGTGATCCGGCGATCTTTTTCATGGACTGGTTGCGAATAATCTTTTCCCTGCGGGGGAGGGCTATAGAAACGGCACGGAACTGAACTTCGTGTGTCTGCACCCCGATGCGGAGAGTCAGCATAGTACCGAAGGTGAGCCCTAGCCCGCGGCCTCTTCCCCCATCTTCCATCCGTGGTATATGCCTGTCAATATCTGGATACTGACAAAATCCCCGACCACAGGATGGGACGTCTCCGGCTCGCAGGACCAGCTCCTCAGGATCTACGACGAATTCAGCCCTGCCATGAAAGCGCTGCTGGCGATGACGGACCCCGACTCCATCAAGCTGTGGCGTCTGTTGGACCGGAAGGCGCTGCGGACGTGGGTGCGCGAGAAAGCGTGTTTGCTGGGCGATGCCGCGCATCCGTTCCTACCGCGTACGCTATTCCCCCCTTTGAGTACCCTTTCACGGGCGAGGTGCCAAAGTTGAAATGATGCTGAGTACAAGCAATAGACCAAGGCCAAGGCGGCGCTCAGGCTATTGAAGATGTAAGTCCCCCTTTCCACCCCTCTATCCCTGAGACTAGACACAGAGAGCGAGAATTTTAACGTCTACCCGGAAAGGGCGCCGCCCTCGCGGCCCTCCTCCCGCTCGGAACTGGCCCCGACGTAATCCCGCACCGCCTGCAGCTGTACATGCAAGCTCGCTACGACCGCGCGACCATGATCCAGGACTTCTCGCGGCAGGCCGCCTTCAAGCTCAGTCCCGATGACTATGTGGGCGGGACGTCGACGGACCGTAGGTGTCTCCCACCACCCACTTGTTCGAGGAAGGTGGAGTGTACACGCCCACGCTGACTTTGCACTGCCCTAGCCCTCGAATTCATGAAAATCAACTTCGGCCACGACGCCTACGACCACGCGACCAATATCTTGCTGAAAGCGGTGGGGCCGCGCTTATCCTCAAGCCGTATCGGCTCTCGCTCTGCATCCACTCCGAGCACGATTCTGGAACTCGGGTTCCGGGCCCGCAGGAACTATCTGGAGACGTTGTTGCCGTGTCTCGAGGCGCGGATTGTGGCGCCGGGAGGGTGGGTGGATGCTTTGTGGAGGGTTACGCGGGATGCCCCGATCGAACAGCACACAGAGGGCCAGGGGCAGGGGGCGAGTGTGAGTGTAGCGCTGGTGATCCCGCAGGTGGATCTCACGGGGACAACGATATCTTCTAGTGCGGATCGGAACGGGAAGAGTAAGGGATCGCGGAGTGGAGTGGAGGAGTACACTGCGATTATGTTTACGGGTATGGATGATAGGGAGACCGGTTGTGGAGGAGACGGACGGCTTCCGGTTCTCCCGGCTACGATTCAAGTCAGCATGCTGGACGGGGGATCGTGGGTCCAGGTCCAGGTCCAGATGGCGGGACGGGTGCTTCTGGTTCTTCGGGCGGATGATTCCCCCGGGAGTCAGCTAACCGGCGCGATCGAATTCCCTGAGATCGTGACGGGCGAAGAGTGGAGAGCCAGGCTAGCAGAAGGGGGGATGGAGTTGGACCAGATGCTGTTGGGTGTGTTGCAGGGGTTGGAGCCTGTCGATATACAGGTCATTCATTCTTCCTGAGGTGTGTATCAAAATAGCGAGTCCAAGAGGAGGTTGATGCCTACTAACTGGGTGAGCTCGATCGCGTTCAAGGTTGGAGGTGGATTGTCTCGCCATCAACCATGCGAGCATAATACTCAGTGGGGTCGTGTTGGAGCCAGATGTGGCAAATACACCACTTCACTGCAATCCCAGCCGATGTGATTTCTCTATCTTGGTTCCACCTGATTATAGAAATACCACAGGTATTCCAAGGATGATTAACCTCAGATCTTTTTTTGGATAGGTAGGGAGCAGTAGAAGCTGGAGCCCGACGATTAAGGTGGTAAACTCTGTTACCGCGGCGAGAAATAACGTGGCGTATAGAACCGAACCGAGTAAGACTACCTTAGACATTAGTCACCCAGCGGAGTAAGCTGTAAATAGCCTAGTTAGTGTGTAAGTTGGCGGATTCTTTTTCTCTAACCAGCTGAGGTCAGAAACCGCCTCCAAACCGGGCAAGACCACATTTTCCCAATCGAGCCGGAACAGGCGGGCCAACAGTACTCAGTAGGTGGAGAACTTATCCGCCGATGATTCAGTCCAGAGGGGAAAAAAGCCAAGCCTTCAGGCATCGATGCCAAACTTCAACCTTGCTTCCTTCTCTTCTCCACCATAAGTTCTGTCTATTGTCTGCCCGCAATCACCAATCAATCATTCGGGACTTTCCCCTTTCCTCCCCCACTCTAATTGCAAGACGGGCCACATAGGACGGTAGCCCATTGCGCAGTCCACCTTTGTCATTCGTCAGTTACAATAGGGCTGGGTCCGTGTTCGAAAGTATGAATGGGCCCCGCAAAAGCAATGCCTCCATCTGGACCATTATTAGCGTCATGATTGGAATCTGCAGTGAAGTTCCTGGTGGCTGTTTCCTGTTCTGCCCTAAGATCATCACCAGCAGCGGCCACCCCGGTGAAATCGGTCAACTGCAAGGCTGTCACTTTTCAACAGTACACTGATGCCAATGGTACGCACGCCAAGATGTAATCCGCAGTCTACATTCCTGCTAATAGAACATTTAATCTAATAGAACTATACCTATTTTTCTATGTATTCTATTCACCTACTTGAAGAATATAGTATGCAGATTAACGTAGCTTTCGAGAACAATTCTATTTATTTAGTTGGAACAATCTTATTGTATAGTTGGAATGGTCGCCTGCTGTATATATTATCAGACTGTTTCTATATTCTTTGCGAACTTATATACAGCTCAGCTGCTGCCGGTGGCGGCATTAACTAGGTCGATATAGGTACTGGCATCCACTACCCACTACAGCTTTGCGACTCTGTCGAGTAATGTAGGCCATATTAGTTTCAATACTGAAGAGATCTGGGCTATTAGCCGATCTGAAGCCGTGGTCGATTTAGACTACCGAGCCTGGTATAGGACAACTATTTTAAGAAAATTATTAATTCAGAACTAATATAGCTCGGCTGTAGATTACAGCTACATCTATAGATGCTCGACCGGTGGCCGATAGAGTATAAAGAATATACAGAAGTGCCCGAAAAACTACGATGGCATTCTCGCGGGCGCACCAGCAGCTGTATAACCTGAAGCAGACCGCCTACCAAGCATCTGCCAACTCCTTGCACACGATCCCGAAACCGATGTTCAGCGACCACGCCGTCCTCGTGGCACATAATGTGTGTCGGTCTGAGTTAGGGCTGTGATCCACACCGAGTTTGGATTCTTCTATCGACATAAAAACCAACTCATTTTCTGGCATCAGGCTTGTGATTACCGCCGATGGTAAGATGGAGAGAAATCTGGGTTTGTATGTTGATCAGAAAGAACTAAAAAGCTCAGCAGGCGACGATTTTAAGAATTGATTGCCCCTTCCTTTGCTCAAGTACAATGCATACGCTCCGAAAAAGGTACACTCATCAAGGACAAAGCTTTTCGCGCAATTTGGCAAGCTTCTTTAGCATAGCCACCAAAGCTACAAGAGAATTGTAGTTAATTCGCCTTCGACGCACTCTACATTGTGGCTGGGTTCCATGTCACCGTGACATTTTGCATGAGAAAGTCCCGAATGTTCAGATAACGCTTGATGTGTATATAGTTGGATGCTGATCATAAAAAAACGCTCACTATCATCGAATTCCAGTTCCCAATGTATGAGAACACACTGTCAAATCCTCTAAATCTCCCAGCCATTTCTACCTTGACCGTGTAGACAGCCTCCATCCCAAGAAGAAGCCCGAGGCGTCAAACATAACCCCCCCTTCCCCCCTCCCAAATCTACTTCCAAATGGACAAGAATCCACAATCTTTTTTAATCTAATCTCTACGCGAAGCGTAGCTCATTCTTTCCAAAATCATATGCGGAGACCACATTTTTCAAGAACGGCACTCCGAGGATATTCAACACAATCCCCTCGTAGGCCACATCTTCAGAGGCAGCTAAGCTCGACACACAGTACCCTTCTTCGGTCTTATAGATCAGGTCTCGTCCCTCATGATAGAAGGTCTGTCCCCCCATCTCGACCCCAAACACGGGCGCCTGGGCATCACAGTCGACGAGATAGTACCCCAGCGCCTCCGAATTGACAGCGGGTGGATCAAACAAAGCATTGATCGAATCCACCACCGCCATGGGCAGAAAACTGAAGTCATTGCCGGTATCGGTCAAGGCCTGGAAGGCGGTGGCGTTTGTGATGAGCGGGCAATCATCGGCTTCAGGTTCGCCCCCAGGTCACGGCGGACACAGTGAACGCCCAGTAGGAGCGGGTGCGCTTGCCCGAAGTGAAACTGGGAGGGATGTTCTTGAGGATCTCCACGGGGACCTCGGCAAAGGTCGCATTGTGGGCGACTGGGGGATAATCGCCTAAGGTGAGATAGCCCCCAAAGGTCGTCGCGGGGGCCGCGGTGAGGTTGTGCGGGCTGTGGGCGAGGGCAATGCTGAAGTAGGGCTCCGCGACCAACCCTTGCTCGTACATGGTGTTGAACAACGGACGATAGGTCTCCCGGTCGAACCAGAAGGTGGTGTTGTCGGTGTGATTGCGCGGATGGGCAGAGGTAAGGGATGGGTAGGCCAGACCCAGCACGCCACTGTTGATCCCATCGCCCATCGGATGGCTGCGATCAGCAATTCCGATCGCTTGTCCGGGAACGGTAATGCCTGCTAGGGTGATGTCCTCGCGGGCCATTACTCCGCAGGCGACGCCGTTGCCATATTGTACGCCAAAGGTCTGGTTGGGGATTAGCCGATACGTGCTCGATTCGTGGTAGGCGTGAGGAGCATAACCACAGGCAGCCTGGCTGATCTCTTGGTTGGTCGTTTCATTGATGCAGACAAAGTCATTTCGAACCACGTAAGTATCACTGATGCCCGTGTCGACCAGCAGCTGGAAGGTCTGGTCGGCGATTGTCACCTCGACATTGAAGGTAGTCCCATACTGCGCGGCCAGCAGCGTGGTGGTATGGTTCAAAGGGTGCTGAATGAGAGGCAGAGTAACTTGACTGGCCGTCCCGAAGGCACTGAGTTGGGAAATCAGTTCTTGCATCTCTCCACACTAACTAATTATTCTGCTACCAAAGAAACATAGCAATGAAGATGATGGAATGGAAGGAAATAAAAGTCGTGGTTGCCTATCGGTGGTGACGATAGTACATATATATATGAATAAATACTTTACCATGTTCACATGACAAGTCGCCTGGAATAGATAACCACGGCATACCATACCATACCATACCATACCATACCAACACTGGTCTTTTAACCCAACCTCCCCCGCTCCTCGTATATTTTAGTTTAGGTTTCCATTTTTTAGGTTCCGTTCAGCCTCACTTCCTCCCACTATCAACTTGCCGTCTAAACCACCACCATGAAAACCTCGCGTCGAAGCACCCCCAAAGGTCGGTCTGGCTGCCTGACCTGCAAGTGCTTCTCCCCTCTTAACCCTAAGTTGCGACCTACAATACTCACGGTAAATCCAGAGCCCGTCGTGTGAAATGTGACGAAGCCAAGCCGACGTGTCAGCGATGTCGTCGTGCCAACCGCACCTGCGAGGGATACGCCGTGCTCCACCAGCAACCGAGCTCCCTCCACCAGCGGCGATTGCCAATCATCACAGCCTACAACATCCCCTTCCGCGTCCCCGGCAGTCAAGCCGATCGGGAACTGCTGCATTTCTACTGCTGCGAAGCCGCCCAGAGTCTCTCCAGCTTAACCGACCCAACCCTGTGGACGCAGCTGGTCCTGCAGCGCTGCCACACGCAACCCATCATCCGCCATGCGCTGGTGACGCTGAGTGCGCTCTATCGCGATCATTATTGCGACCGTGGCCCACAATCGCCGGAAACACCGCGACAACCCTCCCCGCGGAGTCTGGAGTTGATCGCCAAGTCCCACCGTCAAGTCTGCCGCCATCTCGCTTCTCCGCACGCCTCCTACGAGGTTGCCCTGATCTGCGGGGTGCTGTTCTACGCCTTTGAAACATTAATCGGCGAGGCCGAGGCCGCCATCCGCCATCTCGATCAGACCCTGCTGCTGTTCCGAAGGTATCGCGATGACGACGCTGCGCGCCCGGGGTGCCGCGACGGACCCCCGGTCGCGGATGATCTCCTGCCGCATTTGAATTCCCTGCTGGCGAGATTGGATATCCAAGCGAGCATGTACAACGATACCCGGCCGTTGGTGCTGCTGCTGGGTCCGGCTGAATGGGAAGCTTCCCCGCCATCAGGGCCATCATCGCCCGAACTCCCAAGCGACCCCACCGCGCCGTCGCCAACCGACCTCAATGCCAAAGAAAGAACCGTCATAACCCTCCAAGCCCGTCTTCTCCGCCACCTCATGCTCCACGTCTCGCATAAGAACCACCCCCTCGACAGCCTCCCGCCGTCCATACTCCACGAACGTCGCGCGCTGGACGCAGACTTCCAGACGTTTATCGCCTCCCTCACTGTGCATCCTGCACCCCCGGCCTCACCCGCAAGACCCATCCCGCAGGTGCACACGCACATGCACACGCACATGCACATGCAGGGCCCGACAAACCCCCAGCAGCAACACCAACGCCTTCTCCTGTACCGGATTCAGGCCCAACTCTCCCACAGCATCATCCGCGAGAACATGATCACCTCTGATGAGGATGATGATGATGATGATGATGATGATGATGATGATGACGAGCAGCCATCACCGGCATCCCCAAGATATACAGACACGATAATGGACGCCACGCTTCGCGCCGCGCTGGACAATATCATCCTCCTTCTGGGCGGGCGGGCCAGGGAATCCGTTCCGCCGGAGCGGGACGATAGCAGCGGCAGCAGCAGTAGCAGCGACAACGATCTCAACAGTCCCGGCAGTCCTGTTCCGCCGTCCGATAGAGGGACCGCCCATGGGCATGGGGGTGGAGAGGGAGCAGGTGCGGGTGCGGGTGGCACCTTCAGTTTCACCCTCTCCACCCAGCTGATCGCAGGGCTCTATTTCATCTGTCTGAAGAGTCATGACCCTCGCACGGTGGATGATGCATTGTTGCTGTTGCAGGAGAATCCGCGGTTGCCCAGGCGGGAGGGGCTGTGGGATGCTGGGGTGGTGGCCAAGGTGGTCGAGGGGTTGCGGGCGAGGAAACGGGCGTATGAACAACGCATGGAAGGACTGCAGGAAAAGAGGGACAGAAATCTGCTGAGATTGGAAGATGTAGGGGAGGGGATTCTGGACGCCGAGGGGGTCGGGGGTGTCGCGGAGGTTTTGGATCTGTTGAAATTTGGTAGCAAGGAGGACCGAGAGCAGCAGCAGCAGCAGCAGCAGCAGCAGCAGCAGCAGCAGCAGGAGGATGTCATGACCTAGCTAGTGTAGCTAGCTTTTTTCCGGTTAACTTTCTTATTACTATTGGACCTTTTTAAAATCTCCTTCAATTGATTTCCTTTCTATCTGCAAATGATGATGGAAATAGGGTGGACCTAGTTCTTTTTTTCGTTTTTTTCTCAAATATGCCACTGATAATTTGAATCATTTCTACACCACGATAATATTCGGCGCCAGGCTGCCTAAAAAAGGGAATATAGATCATTTTTTTGATGTAGCTGCCGGAGACGCGAGACAAGGCATTTGAATCAGGCATTGAAACAGACTCATGTTCACTGCAAATCGTATTGACAATTTTACTTATATTTCAATCACCCGACTGAGCATAGTATAGAAAACATCGAGGTCTAATGAATCTTTAAAAAAAAAACCCCCATTAAATCAGGATTTTGGTATGGAAAACACATGTAGTTCAAGTTGTAGATACATCGCCACGACACTAACCACAACAGCAACGAGTACAGCAAGAAAGAAAGACAACAAGGACACAAAAGAGTCAAGATCTAGAAGCAAAACAATGACAAACACAAAGCAAGGACGGCCAGGGCCGTCTGCAGCTGCGCGGGCGTCACCCCGGCCACCCGGCCGACCACTCGATACCAGGCCAGCTGCAGAAACCCAATCAGAGGCATACTGATCGGGGCCCCGATGAGATAGGCAGACGCCGGCGTGCGCTCGGGATGCTCCAGCCAGCTGAGGGCATCCAGCCCGTGGTGGTAGAAGCGACTGCTGCCGCCCCCCATACTCTCGCGCTGCGAGGCGGGAATAATCAACTCCTCGACCAGGGGCCGATAGGTCTGCCAGAGTGTGCGCAGTTCCTCAAAATAGTGCTCATCGTTGCCTTGGCCGCCAAACACCGCATACAGTCGTGCCTTGCGCTCCTGTGCCGCCGTCAGCAGCGCGGAGGGAGGGGGGGCGGCTCGACTCAGGCGCCGCAAGGCATGCCGGGCGCGGACATACGCGGCCAGAATCGTCGACTGGGTGGTTTCCGAGGTATCTTCGAGGTTGTAGACCACCCCATGCACCTCGCGTTGCTGCAGAATATCCCGGTCGAACGTCTCCAGGGCGATGGTGAGGAGGTGGCGGAGGTCATCGGTCAATCCCCGGGGGGCTTGCTCCAACCGATGCACGGTGAAGCCGAGGAAGCGCGCCCAGAACTCCACGAGGGACGACAAGGTGACCGGCTCGTCGGCCGTCTGCAGGTGGTGGAGAAAATCATCGCGGAGTTGAAGAGCAGCAGGGAAGAACGCGGTGGTGACGGAGAGGGAATGTGTAAAGGTGCCGTAACTGATGGTCAGGATCTGCCCTGCCAGCGGATTTGTCGCCGACGCCGACGTGGACAGATGTTCGGGTGTCGACCAACCCGACGATGTCGACGAGTCGGTTAATGAAGTGGTTGATAATGTGGTGGTTGAGATCAACATGGTGGAATCAAAGGCTACCATGAGGGGCAACCCAGGCAGAACAGTTTAAAAAATCAAGCCCAGCCACTTCTCCACTTTGAGTCTCCAGAGTAGTATCTTCATATATTCCCCAAGAAAAAGAGGTGCGCCGGGACCAGCTCGTATATTTTAGTGTTTGGTTAGCCTGTTGCGACCAGGCTATCAAGCGGGGCCGATGTAAGCCCTAAGTGGCTCACCTTGCATGACATGAGCGGCAGCGGATGAGCTTGCATATTTGCTCGTCTAGAAGGCTGAAACGATCCTTTGAGGATCAGGCAGCGTTATTTGCTAATTTTGGACGAGTCCTTGGACTGGTGAATCCTGGCTCGATTGTCGATCATCCGCGAGATTGGGTGCCTGGAATCAGATTCGATGAGATGATAAAACGCTGCTGTCAGCGTCAGGCTTTTGTTTTTTTTTTTTTTTTTGTTTCGTTTCTTTTTTTTTTTTTTTTTTTTTTTTCTTTTCTTTGAGAATCCCGGCCCTCTCTATTCTGCCCTTCTCTTCAGGCTTTCTCTAGAGTCATATTTTATCTCGTTTTCTTGTTTGAATCCAATCGAATCCAAACCCAAGACCAAGACCCAGACCGCACCATGGGCTGGCCGAGTCACTGCGGTAAGTTTCTCACTTCGCCCATTCATTCGGTTTCGTTTTCTTTGATTAAGGAAGCAGCACACCCGAAATGACCCTAACTGATGAACCAAAAAATCCATAGATCTCTCCAGCGACAATGCCCAATACAGCTATTGTGCCAATGGCCCCGCGGCGGTATTCTTCTCCGTCCTCTTCGGACTGACCTGGATCGCCCATCTGGTGCAAGCGATCGTCTACCGCAAGAAATTCTGCTGGGTGATCGTGGTCGGCACGCTGTGGGAATGTCTGGGGTTGATCATGCGCACGTACTCGACCATCAACCAGACCGAGTCAACAACGGCGTCTGCCGGCCAATTGCTGGTGCTGCTGGCCCCGCTGTGGATTAACGCCTACATCTACATGATCTTCGGTCGGATGGTCTACTACTTCCTCCCCGAGAAAAAAGTCGCCGGCATTCGCGCGGAGAAGCTGGCCAAGATCTTCATCTGGCTGGATGTGAGGTGAGCGGCCTTCCCCAAAATCTCTCAAAAATCTGTCAGTCAGTCAACAAGACGAAAAGACTCACCAGATGCACCATTAGCTCCTTCATCGTCCAAGCGACCGGTGGTATCATGGACTCCGACTTCAGCAACGAAATGGACAAGATCGGCCTGCACGTGTACACGGCGGGGATCGCGGTGCAACAGTTCTTCATCGTCTGCTTCATCGGCCTCCTCATCGCCTTCCACCGGCACATGCGCCAGGGCCACGGGCGTCAGGACAGGATGGGCGACCGACAGCGGTGGCAGGCGCTCGTGTTCGCCATGTACGCCAGTCTGTCGTGCATCACAATCCGCATCATCTACCGTCTCGCCGAATTCGCCGACACCAACACGGCCGGCAGCAGTCCGCTGACCGTCAACGAGGCGCCCTTCTACTGTCTGGAGTGTCTGCCCATGTTCGCCGCGATGGTCATCTGGAACGTCTGGCACCCCGGTCGTTACCTCCAGGGGGACGACAGCGAGTTTCCCAAGAAGATCAAGCTGTCGCGCGGGGAGAAGAGGCGCAGAAAGCTGGAGGCCAAGGAGGAGGCCAAGGAGCGGAAGCGCAGCAACCGCCGTCGGTCGTCGAGTCGGAAGCGCAACCACCGAGTCTCCGAATATCATTTGACGGAGCAGTCGGACAATGCGCAGTTGGAGGAAGGGATCACGCATGCTTATCCGGACAGGGTGCGGATGTAGGGAGTTTGTCCGGATAAGGAACGGTGGCCTTTTTTTCTTATGTCTTTCTTTCTTTTTTTTTTTCAATTCTTTTTTTCCCCATTTTCTGAATATTCTTAGCGCCGTGACCCGTGTTCTTTCTACCTGATTCCCCACTGCATCATGTTCAAAATTGAAATAATTAGGACTTTCCTATGTGATGTCAACCCTCTAGCAGCTATCCTCTGGTGCATATATATATATATCTCTCTCTATCAGTATGAATATATTTACAAAATAGTCAAAGATGTAAAGTTGGTATCCCAAGAAAGCCCCGACAGCCCAACGCCAAATTCCAATCCAGCCAGAATACATCACCCCCAAAAGCGCAGACGATACCCGAATGAAAGAAAGAAAAAAAAAAAAGAAGAAGAAAAAGAAAATGCAAGATTGTACGGCAAAGCCATCAGTGGCTGCCACCGAGACAAGCACTATGTAAGAGCGTCTGATCCTCGAAATCACGAATGTCTAGTTGAGCACCCGCCAGAATCAGCATCTCCACCAGCTCCTGCTGGTTTGATTCACACGCCAGATGCAGCGGGGTGCGACCCCAGCAGTCCTGCGCATTGACCGAGTAGTAGCTGGCGGAATGCTCGAGTAAGATGCGCACCACGGCGTGCTGCCGGGCCTGCACGGCTAGATGGAAGGCAGTCTCTCCACGTCGGGTGGTCCGATTCACGGCCCCCCGGTGATGGCGTCACTCGTCAGCAACAGTTGCACCACCCTGGTGTGGCTCTGCCGCGCGGCTAGGTGTAGCGGCGTCCATCCGGCGCTGTCAGGCAGGGAGGGATCGCTCCCGGCCCGCAGCAGCACCGCTAACTCCGACTCATGGCCGTGGAGCGCGGCACGATGCAGAGCTGTGTGTCCGTGTGCAGGGCCGCTCCTCCCTTCGGTGGTGGGGGTCAGGGTCGGGCTTCCGCTGGACGTGGGTTCCGGAGTCAACCCGAGGGTGGGTTCGTGGAGCAGGTCCGGCAGAGGCAGGGCCAGCGGGGAGGGGTAGGCTGAGTACGCCACCGGATCTGGGAATAGCACGTCAGACTGAGCGGCGGGTCCCAGGGCTCTCCGGTGAACATGAGAGGGTCCGCTGGGGAGGTGTATGGAGATACATCGGAGGGTAACGTAAGCGGGGTGGGTGGGTGGAGGCTATATGATTTTAGTGGCGGTGGTGATGATAATGGTGGTAGAGGGAGGACCTGATCATGCTGGTGCTGGGGAGGAGCAGGCAGCGTGGCTGCACTGGCTTGCGCAGTGTTTCTCTCTTCTCCCTTTCCTAAACCTGCTCAAGACACACTCAATGATTTAGCAAAGTCTCCGGTCTCGACTACCCCCCATTCCAGGCTTGGTAAGTACTCACGTCGACGATACCCTCGTTGAGCAATGCGATTCTGGGCCCTCCGACGCTCCACTGGATCGTGGATATTGGCCCAATTCTCCCCCACGACACCGACGGGAATGGGAGTGACCTTCATGGATAGTGCATAGAGAGCAGGGTCTCGCGGCATGCAGGCAACCAATCAAACAGACAGACAGACAGACGACAATTCACGGAATATTAATATCCCTACCGCAGCAGTAACCGCCTATAAGACTCCCTATAACTACTACCACGCTGCTTTCTAAAAATTACATACAGGATTATATCATATTAGATTCTAGATTATAAAATACTTATTATTATTCTTTTTTTTTAGGATTGTTGGGATTTTGGCAAAGAGGTTTAATTCTCCTAATCTTATTGTTCTGCCGGTAAAATCTGTTTTTGCAGAGTGGCCATTAAAGTCTTTTGTAGTTAGTGGGACTTGAATGATTAACCTAGGCGGCCCGCCCTGTCGGTGTTAGAAGACTTCCAGGTTGTGTTTCTCGCTCTCTCTATATATCACTTATGTCTCCCTTGCATAATACAAGCTCCCGGATAGTACTTTACCACACACTAGGTTATATTCGGAGGTTCCCGAGCCCTAAATCCGGTTTTAAATAGGTGGCCCGGCGTGATAGAAACTTATGGCAGGCTGTGACTAAAAACCGGAATCCTGGAGCGATTCCTTCGGTAGTAGTAGGTTCCCACCCAATCATCGCGCCCATCGCACGCACACGTCCTGAGACCGACGAAGGATCAAATCTCTCACGTCAGCCAATCGAGACAGACTAAGGCTAAGCTTTCTGATCACTAGTTGGAGCTAACTCAAAGGTGACTTTGCAACGATCGATCTGTCTCCGGTCACGGGGTGTAAGTAAGTTCCGACAGTGCAATTTTTCGATCACAGCATCATTCAGGTCTGGTGAATGTTGAACAAGACACTTTTTTCGCCAATAGATTTTAGGGTTGCTATTGATATTTGAATTAATTGAGTTACATCAAGAGGCGGAGCGTTAAGTCTTAGTGTTACGGGTAAACCCACACGATCATCATACGGAGCGGAGTCCATGTCGCGATGTCGCGACGTTGCATATTTTACACACCACGCCACCAGTCCGAATATGGCAACAGATCCACTTAGTAACGCGATTTCTGTTCCGCCTTGGCCCCCTTCAACCCATATATGTACATCCTCGAGGAAATAAAGAGGCTGTGAGTGATCTACCATATATCTGCATTCAGTATGTCAAGTCTTGTACCATGTATGTACTCTGTCGGGATATTTTGTTGGAATGTTCCTTCTATTGCTTTGAATAAGCACTCAGGCGCTTATTAGCGTGTGTACGGTATCATAACAATATCAACATAACACCGGGCACAACCTGAAACTAACCTCAACACGATTCACAATTCTCATACCACTAAGCATTTAACGCGTATTAGAATCGTGACGCTGTTCCATATTTCCTCAACCGCTCTCTCGGATACGACGTCTACGTTCTACAAACAACTGCCCCACAAGTGCTAAATAGCAAGAATCCGAAGAGCCTCCGGGGCCCAAATTACACGGCCACTACGTACCCCACCTTGCAAAAAACTGGGACCATCAACCCCTAATTCGGAAAGACGATCACAAAAAGTCAACTCTAATGAACTCGCGGCCTGAGGCTGCCAGATCACTGCCCATCTTAATAGCCTTAGCTAGTTACTCTTGAATAGCTCTATGTAGATAGTTTCATACATCATTCATCTTCCTGGGTTCTCCCTCGCCTCCATCACGTCATGAGCCCTTGTTCTTTGTAATAATTTCTTAGCACTATCCTATTAGGGATATATCATCTTTAACAAGTCTTATAAACATCTTCCTCTACAAGCTTTCATAAAGCCTTGTATTCAGTCTTCAGGGCGGCGGTGAGGCTATACAGATTGTCTACTACTAACTACCACCACATCTATCAACACAATAAACAGGACGTGGTGATTGCCTTTCATGGTACCGAACATAGAATGCATTGAGAGCAAAATATCCGGGCGCTCATGCAAAAGGCTACTAGAAAGGAATGGCCGATTGTTCTTTCCAAAAATAGTTTGAAGCGGACTATTATCGTTTTCTATTAGATCAACAAGATTGGCAATAAGAAGCCCTGAAGCTTACTTTCGCGGACTTAGATCCCGTTGCTAGCAGCCTGGGCGATAGGCATCCGCAGAGCGGGACCTGGGCGAAAGTCCCCGCCTCTAGCTGGTAGTCCGATAGGTCATCCCGCAGAAGGAAGAGGAGGTGTGCGGGTCATGCGCGTGCCAGGAGTACAATCACTGTATGAGTCGGCAAATGTCGACGTGTCTGAAACGCCCAGTCCAAGTGCGCCAGGGAGGTCGTCCCCTAGGGTAGCAAACGGGGCATCTTTGGAGTGAGAATCCCAAGGTTCGAGTGGTGGCAGGGGAAAGTCCGACAACTGCCACTGCCAAAGGTCGTCCGGGCTGACGAGGCCGTTGGAGAGAAGCGGCAGCACGTCGAGCTCCGGAAACCCGTCGGGGACACCACCATCGACTAATGGTAGTAATGGGTTGGATGGTGAAAGAGGCTCGAATGGGGCTTGCGGATGTTCTTGCTCGGGTGCATCAGCAGGATCAACTGCTTTTCTGCTCACGGCCTTCAGTATACCCGCGACCCTGAGCTTTCGTGAGCTTGCAGCAGCGGGGTGTTCCCCGCGATGACCTCCGGCCGCAGCACTGCCGTCGTTATGTTGACTGTCGTCTTCATCGAGCTTCGTCAAGGCTTCCAGAGCAATGAGGCAGCGCTGAGCGGGCGGTTCCGCCTCTGATTCTCTGTGCGGATCTTGGAGCGTCGGTGGCAGCTTTTTGAAATCCCCGACTCGCAACAATTCCATCGCTTCCCGGATCTTGTCGCGAGTCATCAGTCGGCTAAGGTGCTGTGCACTAGCACTATCTCCATCATCCCCGGGACTATAGGTGAAGAGCAGATCGAGGAGCAACACCACGGCCGCATTGAAGAGCTGTATCTCACTGGTCCACAGCGAGCCACAGACGGTACATCGCGCCTGGATCTGACCCTGGGTACCGATGATATTCTGCGCCAAGAGCTGGCAGAAAGGACGACCAATTGGCGATGAGAGGTTGGGCCGATGCAGTCGAAGCAGTAAGCTCCACAGTTGCTGGTGCAGCATCCAGCGTTGCACGGGGATCGCCGCCATGGGACCGCCGGTGGCGGTAAGTCCGACCGTGCTGCCCAGTCGGAAATACGCCGGCAGACCAGCAACGTACTTCTCGTATTTGTTGTTGAGATGTTTGCGTAAATTGGCAGGCCCAGTGGTTTCCCCAGGCGCATATGGTTGTGATCCCCATAGTGCGATGGAGTCGCGGACAATCGAGCTGACTTCCAGGGCGTGGAGAGTATACGACATCATCGTGAACTCGGATCGAGGCCGCTCTACAATGACTCTATTTGCATCTACTTGCGAAGTTGGTAGAGAGATATCGTCGTCATTGACGTGCAACGGCATCCGGGTGTTGAATTGTGATGGTTGAATGGTGTAGTAGCCGAGGGTTTGTCCGCGCGACCAATCCCTTTGAACGAGCGCCCACCTGTACGAAGATGTCAGCACAGGACTCGTGACCTACCTTCTCGCTCACCTTACCATATGCGAATACCTATTTCCGTGCGAAGATGCAGTGGTTCTGCCGGTGTTATCGTGCCGTTTTCGAGTGGTGCTGAATATGATGCAGACGCGTCCAACTTGATATCCCCCAGCCGATGCAACCCGAGTCTGCGAGCTCCGGAGATCGCAGTGACCAGAACCGCGTCCAGCGCCAACGAACCCTCCTGGCCGTCCAGTAAAAGCATGACTGCAGCCTGTAATCCGGCGATTGAGCCACAGAAGAAAGATACTCCGTCTTGAACACAGCGCAATCCCAGAGTTCTCCATGTTTTTGGACATGTACCAGACGCTCGGAGCTCCTCCACACGTAGAGCCAACGGCGTAGGACTCCACCCCAATATAGAAGGGGTTGGATGGAAAGCAAGACCGAGCACGAGCTGGCAAACAAACAATGATGTGAGCACGGGGCCTTTGCGTCAGGTAGGCTCCACCTACCGCTAAGAGGTAACAGCCCAGTGTCTCCATCGTGACTGCACTGGCTATTGCAGAGGTCCGTTCGTCTGGCGAAGAAAGACTCAAGCAGTGGCCGAACTCTGCAGCTTGCGCCATGAAGGTCGGAGTATGCACCACATTCCCCAGCGGACCCTGGCAGCGAGTGACAAAAACTTCAAAAAGGAGATGAATCATCTCCCACTCCGGGAGTACATCGACGATTTCTCGGATCAAGGCGATCTGTTCACCGTGTCGCTTAGGGTCTGTCGTGGACCAGTATCGATTCGGAAAATCCGGGGCGACTGACAATGGTGTTGCCGCCGTAGAATTCGAACGAGGAATGCCTTCCACGAAACGCTCCAAGAGCTGAGCTGTCTCCTCTGCTTCCCCTTCGCCGTCCCCATCTTGTGTTAGATCTCTGGAGACGAAGAGTCAACACACTGACTACGAAAGCGAATGTGGTATACCCACTGCTTGGACGCTATCTTGCCTCGGTGCACGGTTTTGGACCGCTTGGCCCTCGGGTGCCGCTCATCTTTGGTACAAAGATGACCGATGTTACGCTTGACACACTCTATCTGTGGAGATACTGTCAGTATGTAGCCTCCAGAGCAATCTGATCGCTCGCGTGTGCAGGAGGTTGGCACTGACACAAGGTTCTGCACGGTCGCATTTTAGCTTGGAGGCTCTACATCTGGAACACGACAGCGTAAACTTGCGGACCCCCGCAGGCGGGCCCGGGTTGATACTGCTGCGGTTGTTATCAACCATTCTGCGCTCTGTCTGTGGGGGGGGGGTAGATAATTAACCAAACGAAGGGAGAGGGGGTTGTTCCCTGGAATGCCGCCACCACCTGCACCTGCCGGCTGACGCGTTGGTGTGGGAGTCCAGCTACGGGAGCCAGCCCTTGGCTGGCCAGTTGACGGCGCGGGGCTTTATACCGCGGACATGTGGGTCAGGTGATCCGCCGATCCTGGCTACCATTTCTCGCTCTCGGTATAGTCTGCCAAGCCTTCGATCACCCGTTCGGACTCACCTCATATAACCCTGAAGACATGCAGCGACATCACAAGCCAACCAGGAAAACTGGTCACTAGTTACTACAATGGGTGGAGACCATTGAAGCTATATAAGTAGTTACCTTGTTATTCTGCTCGGACCAGATGAAGCACATACACCTTTTGGTCCCTTGTCTAACAAACGCAACAATGTATTCAGGTTGTGTTCGCAACTTGTGAGCGGCTCCGCACTGAGAGCAAAGAAGCACTCTTTACGCACGAGGTTAGCAAAACGATAAGAGTAAAAAAAAATAAAAAGAAAAGAAAAGAATTGCAGACAGATAGGCCCGCAGCTGTTGGTAAGGAGAATAACATGGACATGCGAATGAAATGAACTACATAGTCTGAGCTGCTCTGCCCTAGAAAAGCTGGATAGAAGGACACGACCCTACGAATTACAGCTAACTATCAAAAGCTCAATTGCTATATCTCGCTCTGTCTCTCTGCTGTGGCCATCAAAATCAATCTATTCTTTATGCTGCGCTATGGTACAGATTCTTATCTTATCCTCAATTTCGCCAAACATGACCCCAGGGCTTAATTCCCCGACGATTTCCAGGTACCTGAGACACCTGCCTAGTCAACTGGCATCTCAGCGCTATCCGTGCTGCTCGCATCAACCTTCCCATTCTTCTCCGTCGCATCAAACCGGTTATCCCGAACAAACAGAACCACAATCACAAACCCGACCGCCGCGAACCCGACCCCAAGCCAAAGCGCCCCGCGGTACCCGCGAACCACATCCTCGCCCCCGCGGTTGACATGCGCCTCCACCGTCGCGGCGATCCCTAACCCGATGGAGATGGAGTACTGGACGACCGTCGAAATGAAAGAGCCAGCGACGCCCTGCTCCTCCGGCAGAACCGCATTGGAGATGAGGATTCCCGACGAGGCGAAGGAGAGGTCCGGTCCGCCCACCACCAGCAAACAGGCGGGGAAGATGAAGGCCCAGTAGACGGGGGAGTACGACACAAAGCTCATGAGCAGGTTGCCGACCAGGAAGGAGAACATGGAGACGCCGAAGATGTACTGCGCCGGGACTTTGGTGATGAAGAGCCCGACGGAGGCCGTCGCGAACAGCCCCCCAATCACGAGCGGGACCATCTGCGCGACTGCCGTGAGTGGCTGCGCTTGGTGGATCGTGAGGATGTAGATTGTCGTGTAGTACAGGAAAATGCCGAAGGACATCCAGCCGAATGCCATGGCTGTCACAACCGGGGAGAAGCCCTTGCGGGTCCAGAGGGTGTTGGGGAGGACGGGGGCCGGGACGTGGGACTGCGAGATGGCGAAGGCGACGATCAGGAGGATTCCGACAATCAGGAGCGCGTAGACGTAGGGCTCTTGCCAGCCTACCACGGAGGCTTGGTTCCAGGCGAAGGAGAGGAGGATCAGCCCCGAGACGCCGAGAAAGGATCCGAGGTAGTCGAATCGCTTGAGGCTAAGGCCGGGGATGGGCGCGCCCACGCGGTGGGGCACGATGAAATAGGTCACTGCGCCCAGGACGAGGCAGCCAATTGCCCAGAACCAATATCCCCATCGCCAGGTGACTTTCTCGGCAAAGGCAGCGCCGATGATGCCTCCAAATATGTAGCCCGATGGTGCGCAGAACCCGAGGAAGGCAAAGGCAATGTTCTTCTTGACTGACAGCGGGGGGAAGGCACGTGCGAGGAGGGCGAAGGAGTTGGGGACCAGTGCCCCGTTGCCGATGCCCGTCATGCCGCGAGCAACGTCGAAGAGGATCACATCTTTGGCGAAGCCACTCATGAGCGACCATAGGGCCATCCACATCCAACCGAAAAGGAAGACATATTTGTGGCCGAAGTGATCGCCTAGTCGTCCGGTCACTAGAACGAAAACACCGCCGCAGAGAGAGTATGACGCTAGGAACCAGGACATTTGACCATTGCTTGTCGCATGCAGGGAGTGTCCAATTTGTTGCACCGAAAAAGATGTATTCCCGAGACCACCAACAGAGAACAGCTGTGATAGGCCAATGACAAAGATAAAAAGGACCTCTTGGAAGGTAGATGAAAATGCGGATGGAGGGACCCCAGCGTCTGGCTCGCCAAGACCGCCAGGTCCTGAGATTTGATCATCGGCCCTGTCAACTTCCTCTTTGCGAGGTTGTCGGCTGTCAGGCATCGTAGATTCGCTGGTAGAAGACATCATCCAATAGATCCTTCTCAATGATCGCAGCCTATGTGACAGAAAAGAGGTCCCTGAGCGCAAGCCTGACTTCGGTATCTAGGTAGGGCAAGATAGGCAGGGTGTGGGAATGGGAAATCATTCTGCATGTGTGCTTATAAGTCATGTCGATTGTTGCATGCTGTGAGTATCTGTCATATTCTCTCGCTCCATACCGGAGATTTCGCAAGATCCGGAGCAAGAGAACGGGGCCCAGCAGCATTAGGGCTGGTGTTGAAAGTCCGCGGACTTTCACCAAATGTCCGAAATCAGTGTGAATCTCCGGCGCCGTGGCCTGAGGCCGCCACCAATCTGCCGAGGCGATTCATCCGCTTACTGACCCAAGACAACAGTCGCCCGCGAGCCCAGACATCAAATCTAATGTATACAGAGTCCTTTCTTACCTCTATGACATGGTTTCGTCATCGAAGAACCTGAGTACAAGCGACAATATATATGAGCATATGATCATGGCAGTTGACCAACCGTCCTTATCTTCCTCACAGTGCTTCCTTGGTGTTGCTGTTTACAGCGGTTAAAGTGGGGTGATATAGGATAGATTGGAATTTGCGAGGGATGTATCGATTGAAAGCCTTGGAGTATGTAGAATATAACGCATTCTCTCTGGTATCCCGCCGAGTGTCTCTGGGGATTTAGATGTCTGGTAGGCAGACCCGACAAAACATATCAGCAAACAACCCTACATCATGTAGTGAGTAGTGAACCTCACCGTATGCCTGGTCTTGTTCTTGTTCTTGTTATCTCGGCAACATCTGTTGAAATGGGTTGTGAGGGCAAAAGGAGAGACATGTCCCTGCTGGATTATAACCTGGTTGAATTAGGCAGAAAATCTTTCGCCTGTTCGTCTAGGTAGAGTGAAGCGATGCATTGCACTGTCCATACCTGTTCTAAAGAGCTCAATGTGCCTGGTTTACACGGACAATAGCATATTGAAAAAGCGTTCACAAAGGCTATCATGCACAGTACAATATAATCTGAGGCCCACGGCCCCTCCAACCCCAATTGGAACAAGCAAAAGGTCGATCTCAGGCTCAAGCTGAAGTAAATAGCCTGCGGTTACTCATTCACTCGGTCTGGCCCCTCGTTGTGTACCATTCTAGCAACATATAAGAGAAGTATTCACTGGAAGGGATATGATCTAGGCTACAGTCAATCTTGTTATCATTCTACCCTCACCGCCTAAAAGCATCACATCCGCCATCTCTCAGCTCAGCTATTCCTTCTCTCACTCAACCTTTTCCATCCACCTCGACTGTTGTCTTTGAAGTCATTCATCGTAGTCCATCACAGTGACCATCATCGTCTACAGTCATCTCTGTCAGGCTCAGTCCCTTCGACGTTCTGCCTTCCTCTTCTCCATCTCAATACAACACCCATCTATCTCTCTACCTGCATTCTTCACCACCAATCGCAATCCAGATCAGTTTCTAAACCATGGCAACCTCCAGATTTTCTTCCTTCTCGCTCCTCCCTGCTGAGATCCGTCTCAGGATCTGGGAGGCTGATAGCGCTATAGAAACTGAGTAGCTATAGCCATCCAGAAACAAATCACTTGTCATGCGTAGCTGCGGCATCACACTATGCCGTGGGAGAAAGAAACTACGGGTCTAGAGTTTCTGGAGTACATTTGGCAGGTTCAAAGCATCTTTAGCGAATCTTCACTATCTCTACTGCATTGATCTTCAGGCCGAACAGCGGAGGGAAGCAAAAGGATACCATTGCCGTACTATAGGGGGGTAGACGAAGGCATTCACTAGAAGAGAGACAGATCTAGGCTACAGTTTGTCTTTCGGGAAATGGTTCTGTGAGAATTACGTCAACGACTTTTCTGTTCACTTTGCCCGGGAGGTGAGAAAGTGACGCTGCCTCGTATGCTCTCATCCAAAATGCGTCTTTGCTCGGGGCGTTGTGTAGGGTTTCCTGCTTCTGTTCTAGCTGGATATCTTCCTCTATGCATGGCCGTCGATCTGGACACTAGGCAACTCGATTTATGTGATCTTACAGTTACCTTCCGAGGTATAGTACAGGAACAATGTTGAAACTGCATTGCAATTTATAGACCAAGGAAGGATGTTATACTGCACCATGAATCTCAGGAATCAAAAGCACTAAGCTGTTAGCCAATAACCACAATCTAAGATCTACAAGTAGTTGCGAACCCCGCTCTACCGTGGCAACCAAATTCCAGTTTTATTATATCTCCACAAGATCCAAAGCGCATTTATAGAAGCGTCTCAGTATCTCGATTGTATTGATTTAGGTCCAGAAGCATCGGGAAGTAATATCTATGCCTTACGAACCGAGTAGCTGCCTGGGGCAGGTCCTGGGGATCGAACCAGTATCCCTCTCTGGAGAAAATGTCTAATGGAGTCTGCAAATCTCTACTCCACCAAGCGAGACCAGTGCCTGGACTTAAGGTATGGCGAGGGAGTTTATATCTTCGATTCAAAGAAGTCAAGTCCCTCAGTTGCGCACGTGATTTGGTCGCTATAGGGAGGCAATGAAGGCATTCACTCGAAGCAGCCCTTCACCCGCTGAAATTCATTGCCAATTCCATATCTTCGCTGCCTGCAGGCAACCGCGCCTATCCTCCTCAAACTCGATCACCTTCTTTCAACTCCGTCATCCTCTTTTAACACAGTCATTCTCTTTTGACCAAGTAATCTTTTCCCATATCAACCCATCTCTTTCCTCACAACCATCGTCTACCATCAGTTTCTGATCGGTTGCAGTTCTTCGTTTTCCATCTTCGCGCTACACAAGCCGTTCTTCTATTGCCGTCATACTGAGCTCAGCAGTAATGGCGACCTCAGGTTTTCCTTCGTTCTCACGCCTCCCTCCAGAGATCCGTCGCATGATCTGGAACGCTGCTCTCCCCGACCCTATCAGCAACCCTCTATTTTTCTGGAGGAGAATCAAACTGTGGATTTGCAGCCTGGACGACGACGACGACGACTACAGCGACGACGACTACGACGACGACTGAATCCCTACCCTCATCGACCCAATCGAGATGGGCTCCTTCTCTGTGGAGATCCCGCTCTTTGAAGTGAACAAGGAAGCCCACAGGGTGGCCCAAGCGTGGATCCAACGCCAATCTCTTGAAGTGGACGTGGACAATCACACCTTTACCCGCAACCACAATACCATCGCCATGCGCCCCTTCGATCCCCAACGCGACATCGTGTTCTGTCCCAATGCAAAATGGAAGGACTTCCTAAAGGAGGTGCTCCTGGTGTATATCGCCCTATCGATCGCCCGCTCTGGTCGTAAGCTCAACCGCAACCATCTCATCCGACGCGTGGCGCTGCCTCAGCAACTGCTCACGGATTCTGAATATGCTGCGCTCCCGGAACTCTTCCGCAAAGGGCTGCAGATGTGGTGCCGGGACCTGTATATTGTCGTCGACGCCCCCGCCACGCTTCGCGAACTCGTCCCCGACGACCCTGTCGGGCCGGACTGGGAGTTGGAGGTTCTGGACGATTTCCCCCGCGCATCGTGCACGAGACAGGGCGGATGGCAAGTCGTGGAGGGCTCTTCGTTGCAGGGCGGACCGGCCTACGAGAGTGCGAAGGAGCTGCTCGGACAGATTACGAAATACAATTTGCCGAAGATGAGGTTTACGTGGGTTTTGGACACCTTTCCAGTGGAGTTTGAGATTCGGTTCGCTCGTGCGGTCAAGCACTGATTGTGTACACGAGAGAGCCTCGAACTGGACTGTTTTACTGGAGCATATCTAGTACTGGCTGGTTGTTGGGGCAAGTTCATACAGGCCAGGGTTCTGGTGGCTAGCTGAGGAGGATGACTATTTGACTAAGGTGCTTGATATGTACTGGACCGTCAGGCTTCAATCTGACATATTCAAAGTGTAACTCATGCATTGGAGGTTAATCAGAATCATGTCTTTCAAGCAGTAAGAAAGGATACACTGTTAGCACATACTCTTCTGGAGCATATAGTAAGAGACAAACAGCACATCACCGCTGCCTTAGTCACGTGCTGTTTCACCACCGCCATTGGCCCTGCACAGCCACACCGCCCCTCGCTTGTGGGGGCGGAGTGCAGCCTAATTCCAGCCACGCGGGAGCCTGGCCGCATCCTCCAACTCAAATACAACTTCATCCAGAACATGTTCTTCTATGCTGCTCGTGAGATTCTTGGGATGTTTCATAGCCCATTCGATCATAGACTAAACAGAGCACAATGGGTAAGCTACCACAAAAACAACTCACAGAGAGAGGATTCGACAACTGACGATGCAATACAGGATACTCTGAGGTAGGAGCACATTCCCTCACATCAAGATCTAAAGCTGATTGATATCCCATGTTAGGCATACTGCCATCTCTGCGGCGTCAGCTTCAACATCGGTCGTGCGCGCGATGTTGGAGAGCCCCACGTTGCTTCCTTTGGCAGCGACGACAGCCTTTCCATGGAGATCGAGGATCTGGATCTAGCCGAGTGTGCTAAGAAGGGTTGCGTTTTCGCTCTCAAATACCCATACCCCGGGAACAATGATGACAAATCGGAGGTTGATCCCGACTATCAGCCTGATGATTGTGGGGATGAGTCCGCAGAGCCGTACGAGTATGATTCCGATTATGAATTGGATGATGCCATGAGTCTGTCCGAAGATCAAGATGACAACACCAGCCATAAAAGCGAAGCAATCACTCCAGACGAGAAAGAGGAAGAAATGTACCGCAACTTCCTCTCTAACACACTCCGCACACTCAACCCAAAACACTACACCGGCGAACCCATTGGTGCCTTAGCCTATTCCACAACCACCGGAACGAAAAAAGACATCCTGATTCCCATCACATCCTCCGAACTCCCCGCGGGCTACAACCCCGAAGATCTCGAACACATCCCCGCCCGCACCTGCGGCCAAGCCCATGCTTATCCCGGCGCGGCAATCTCCGTTGCCGAAATGCGCGGCTGCCGGACGGCCCAGTTCCTCGTGCATAAGTCGCAGGCGGAGGAAACATGGAAGCCCGATGGGCTGCACGAGGACTGGGAGCCGGCGGAGGAGTGGTTCCTCTCCGGCGTGTGTGACGGGATGCGATCGCGCGACTGCGGGTATCCGGATGTCTGGCCCGCGCGGGGCGGGGTGGAGACCGTGGCGGCGGATAATGTTAGTTTCGTTGTAAGTGATCTTCATACACTCTACCTAAAATCACTCCAAAAAGCAATGGAGGACTGATGTCTCTCTACCAGCCCATGGACCCCCACGAGCTCGCCATGCCATTCCACCCGTGGTGCTTCGATATTTTCTCCCGCCAGTCGAAACAGCACTTCAACAAGGTAAACGTCGACGGGCTCATCAAGTGGCGCAATTCCGAGTGCAGCTATGAAGAGTTTCACGAATTCCCCCGGGCGGGCGATGTCCTCGAGTCGCAGGAGCAATGGTGGGATCATAAACCCGGCTGCGAATATCTGGCTGCGAACCCGCTCTATGTGCCTGGCTTGTCGACGTTACTTGCAGAGGCGACGAAGCAGGAGGTGGAGGTGGATACTACCGACTCCAATGATAAGGAGCAGCCGCCCTCGCCTGCCCTCACAGTCGACCGCCTGAGCTCCCTCCCGCTAGACCTGCGTCTCCACATCATCGGCTTTCTCGACGCAGCAGACATCACGCGCCTCCGCGCGGCGTCGCGGGCGTTTACGCACCTTCCCAACGGTGTCTGGTGCCGACTCGTTCGTGACGAGATGCCCTGGCTGTGGGAGGCGTGGGACGATTCGGAGATTACGCACACGCCCTCGCGGTGGACGACACTTAACGCGAACGAGGTCAAGTTTGTGAATGACGCGCGGAATCACTGCGCCAAAGTCCTGGGAGCCAAGCCTACAGAGCAGGATGATCTGGTGGACTACCTGGTCCCGTGGCCTGTCGCGGTGCCGGGACAAGTGAGGCTGGAAAGGGCGAACACGGATTGGCATCGAGTGTTTACTCGGGTCAAGAGTCAGTGGAGTCAGCTGAAGGGGTTGCGGAACCGGCAAAGGATTTGGGAGGATGTTGAGGAGATTATTCGTCGGATGAAGGCGCTTGAAGGTAGTGGTTGAGGTGGTTCATGATTCATGTAGTGACTATTGCTCTGTTGTATATGCAACAAACCAAGTACATAACAGTGAAATGTTGGAGTCTATACATTGTTTTGTGTCTTTTTTGTCTAGTAATTGATCTTATCTCCTGGCCTGCTGTGTCGAGGATTTATTGCACAGCTCTAATACAGTTCCGTTGTCTTGTGCTATCGTAGCATATTTGTTTCTCTTTGTATGGTTGAGGAGAATAGGTCAGACTTCAACCACGTTCAAATACCCACGCCTCCAAGGTTCTACGATTCAATTTCCATATTCAATGTTAAGAACCCTGCTACTCCTGCAGAGCTCAGGGCATGATGTATCACGTGTTCGCGACCGCTGTATGCCACGTGACTGCCTTTCCCGTTGGATGCTTCCTCTCGGATAACCCACGTCTGCCTGTCAACCACGCTGCTTTGAGATGTCGGTTTGGACTATTTCCATGTAGTCAGTGAGAAAGCACTGTATCCGCCCTACAGACAACACCCTTCAAACTTTTCAAGAACCAATGAAGAGTCCATGAAGCAACAGACTCAGAATGAAGCAACCGCGTTCAAATCATATAGGTCTAATAAAACAGGCAAAACACAAATCATTCCGCAACATCGTCAAACAAATACACCCATCCCATCGGGCTATCCCACCGCCCTGATACACCTGAAACCAAGCAATGACCTGCATCGCTTGTTCAACCAATCGAAGTCTTGCCCAATTCCAGTATCCCAGAATGCAGACTTCGGTATCCCAGCTCAAACGTCTGGGCCCCATTCCCCACACCCATGCCAAGCCCTCGCCCAATTGGCGCAAATTTGTCAGCCCCGCCGCCGTCCATGATTCCATAATCTGGGCGAGCCGCGAGCAGATCTCGGTATCCCAGATAGAAGAGTATATTTGAACGCGTTCACAGACCGTTCCACATCAGTCCTATACTCCTCACAAATACCACTAACATCCCCTCGCTATAAACTCATTAGCGTCCAGCCACCCCACAATGACCCCCCAAACCAACAAACAATGGATCATCCGCCGCTGCGGCAACACCTTCGACAGCCTGGAGCGGACCACCTCCCCGATGCCGGACGTCGGCGAGTACGACGTCCTGGTCAAGATCGAGGCGGTCTCGCTAAACTACCGGGACGCCAGTATTCCCATGGTCGGGGCCCCCACCCCCTCCCCCTTCCCGCCCCCTCAGATATATACTCGGAAATCTAACAAATCGAAGAATATGTACCCCTTCCCCAGCAAAAACGACCTAATCCCCTGCTCCGACGGCGCCGGAACCGTCCTCCAGATCGGCCGCAAAGTCACCGCCTTCCAGCCAGGCGACCGCATCACCTCGCTCTTCTTCGCCGCCCACCTCTTCGGCGACCTCACCGCGGCCGCGCAGCAGACCGGACTGGGCGGCTTCGTGGATGGGTGTCTGCAGCAGTACCGCGTCTTCCACGAGACGAGTCTCGTGCATGCGCCCAGGAATCTGAGCGCGGTCGAGAGCGCGACCCTCCCTTGTGCGGCGTTGACGGCGTGGAATGCCCTGTACGGGGTTAAGCCGGTCCGGCCGGGGCAGACGGTGCTCGTGCAGGGCACCGGTGGGGTTTCAGTGTTTGCGCTGCAGGTATGTTTACCCCTTTTCCTTGTTTCTTTGGCGGGGTGGGTGGGTGGGGTATGTGAAAGGGTGAGGCTGATATGGTGGGTAGTTTGCTAAAGCCGCTGGTGCGCGGGTCATCGCCACCACCTCTTCGAGCGCGAAGGCGCAGCGGCTCAAGGAGTTGGGCGCGGACCATGTGATCAACTACCGCGAGGATGCGGATTGGGGCGAGACGGCGCGGAAGCTGACGCGCCACGGCGTCGATCATGTGGTTGAGGTCGGGGGCCCGAATACCATGCGCCAGAGTTTGAAGTGTGTCAAGCTGGAGGGTGTGATCAGTGTGATCGGGTATGTGGGCGGGACGAGCGGTGGCAAGGATCAGGAGCAGCCCCCGCAGATCTTGGATACGTTGATGGGAGCGGCGATTGTCAGGGGTATCCAGATCGGGAGCAAGGAACAGATGCTGGATATGATTCAGGCGATTGAGGCGAACGATATCACGCCCGTGGTTGATGAGCGAGTGTTCGAGTTCGATGAGGCGCGCGAGGCGTATCAGTATCTGTGGGATCAGAGGCACTTTGGCAAAGTGGTCATCAAGGTTGATTAAATAAGAGGTGCCGGATGTGGAACCAAACAAAGATATCTGTATAATATTTGAAGGATACGCTAAGAATGCCATGGATTATCTTAGGACCTGCATCTGAATGAGCGTTTCGGGTACTTTGTCTGGCATACTCTTTGGATACAATCCTAGAAAACATGAGGGTAACGTTAGATGGCAAGAAATCGTCATGCAGGTCGCAGCCGCTAGATCCTATCCTAGAATCTCGCTGCAGCATGGCTAATATGAGCAACAAGAGAAACAAATCAAGACGTCACTCCCTCCGCCAATTCCCTAACTATCAGCTGAGCATGATCTAAAACAATGCGAATTTCCTCCACTTTCTCCTTCACTTGACCCGCGTGCTGAAGGTTCTGCCCAGCCTCCGAAACCTCGCCCTCGACCGTGACTGAAGCCCGCAGGTCCCGAGTGATGTTCGCAACCTCGTCGCGCAGCCTATGGTCTAGTTGACCAAAGGTATCATCCAAGACTTGGCGATAGTCCCTATCGATATTCGAGGCAAATTGCATGAAAAGCGTTGGAGATGAAAGAAAGTGGTTCATTGTTCCCTTTCGTCGGGAATCGCTTCCGGTCCCTGAATTCACGGCCTGAGGTTAGATTTTTGTCATGTTCATATGCTGAGCTCGAGCTCCTACCGCATTGCTCTTGGCAGATGTTATAGACAGGGCGCATGACATTCGCGATATAGGAACTGGTGTGCCCGTGGATTGTGTCGGCTTTGACTTTTCTGTGCAGCGAATTAGCCAACAGCGTCTGATCGAGCTTGCATCGGAAACCGTACTCCGTTGTAAACATAAGGTCATGAAAGGAACTGCGAACAGCTTCCTCCAAGCATCTTTGCCGGATGCGGATATTCGAAAGCAGGTTTTGCAGGGATTCTGGCGCGAGGTCATGGTGTTCTGAAAGTTGGATCGTGTCAGCAATCTAGCCATCATTTGCACTACAAATTACAATGAAATCGCTTACTTCCGATAGACTCGCAGACCTCCCCGAATAGACGCGAAAGACCTTTCTCAAAGCCTTCGGCATGCCCCTTCAACTGGCTCAGCACAACATCCCATGCGAGCTTCAGCCAATCACGTGCAGAGCCGAGAATCTCTTCATTCCAGCAACGATACTGCTGACTTTTCGTCTGGTGACTTCCATAATTGCGACAAAAGGCTGCGTATGTCATGTGATGCCACTTATCATAAAAGATTAGCTCTTGGTACCGATGGTGTCTGCCACGTCTCGTCGACTTACTGAAGCCCACTCTCTGCTCGCATTAACTGCATTATTGCACCAGGCGTTCCGTGACGTATCTGCATCAGATTGATGGGTTAGCTAACCATTCAACTGAGTGAGGGTATATACTCACGGATGAGTCGTGTGATGTCGCTAGTGAATAATTGTTCCAAAGTACGCTGCGCTCGACGCACTTCCGAGTCCTGCGAGAGTATGTTCTACGCAGATCAACAACGGTCAATCCCGTCTCAAGTCAGCAAAGCACATTAGTCCGTGCGAAGTTCATTTGACAGAAAATGAGCGCTTTCAGTGAAATAATGACCGTACCCGTTCGAGGGTCCTTTCTGCCTCCACCAATACCCCACGCAGTAATTCCGCTCGGGCGACAGTGATGCCACTCGAACCCGCCAAGACCCATTGATTTATCGAACCTAGAAGGGCCGGGACTTCGTTCTTGAGATAAATGACCGTTGCTCGGAGCTGCGCATCGGCCGGAACAGACTGGCAGTAGCGACGAAGCTCGGTGATCCCACTCAGCGCCCGATACCCATTTGCTTCATCGATGTCAATGAATCGATGATCAGCGTAAAGCTTGTTGCTAACACAGAATACCCGTGCTTTGTTGCCCCAGGCGGCCAACAGAATGTCCGTAACTCGGGTGTTCCTTCTTGTAATGAGAAAACGATCCAACCTGGGAAGTGGTTAATTGGCGGCTGCCGTTGCTTTCTAAACAATAAAGTGTATCACTTACTCGAGCTGGAGGGCATCTTTCTGGTCGCTGGGATGATGTCAGGCAGTGGCGAGATGGTCTTGTCAGCTTCACACACCTCAAATCGGTCTCCTCAGCGGCGAGGTTTTGACCCCTACTTCCGCTCGCGCGTCGCCTCCGAGAGCGTGTCGATCTAATCTTACTTTCGAGATGCTCGATTCGGCTGTCCATATTGCGGATGCGTGCAGCGTCTTCAGTGGAAGAACTGCGCGCAGTCTCTTTTGCATCGACATCCTGGCATTTCTCAATCAGTCTACCTCCTCATCCTTTGGGAAATAGACACAGACCTCGGAGCGAGTGCACACAATGCGAATGGGCTGATCTTGTGAACAACGTCGGATTATGTCGCCGACCGACTGGTCGGTGGTACAACGTAGAATCGAGCTGACGATGAACACTTCGTCGCAACTGTGACGGAGATACCTCTCTGTCGCTCGGACTCGCGCAAAGTTCAGGTCACGGAAGCCTAAGAATATCAATGTCTGACAATTACCAAACGGATAAGAAATGAGCCGCGGTGTACCTGGAACATCGGCCAAGACCAACCCAGTGCGCAAGACAGGCGACCGCAAATAAACCCTACCACGCTGTTAGCCAAATGTCGCAAGACCTCTTATGAGCCCTCCCGAACCTGATCAGCTTCACAAAGGGCCATAATGCTGGTCGCTTGCTATCTTTGGAGTCAGCCATGAGACTGTCCAGCTCCTCCATGCATTCATCCGCATTCCGAGCTACCATGGAATAGTGAAGGTTGTCTCGTCCCCCCGGTCGGTAATCCAGTCCAGCCATGGCCCATTCCTGCAGGATCGTTAAGATGATCTTTACCGACTCTTCCCCTTCCTTGGACAGAAACTCGAGGTCCAAGCCTTCTTCATTCGGGAAGAGAGACCGTAATGTCTCCCACGCTCTCAGCGCTGCGGCCTTGATGTGCTCCTTTTCTTCCGACTTATGCACTTCGCGAAAGGCATCCGTGTAGTATTTCCGAACACTGGACAGCAATTCCTCTAGTAGCTCGCGGATCTCGCTCTGATCCATGAAGTCTGCTTCGACGGTATAGTTTTGCGGATGTTCGTCATCGACACTCCGGAATTCGGTAACCACTGTCGTGCAAGCAGCGCCGTCCCCACTCTGCGAAGGTCAATCACTAGAAAGAAAACCGGTCTCTCTGGTTGAGAGCTTGACTTACCGACCGAGCGAGTCCCTCTTGATCGAGAATGGAGTTTATCAAGCTGCTCTTGCCTGATGGGAGATCAGCCTTTCCTGTCCGAGAGCAGAAGGATCCGATACTCACCCATTCCCGAGTCGCCGATGAAACCCACAGTCCGCGTGGCCGGATATGCAAAGCGACTCGCCTTTAGTGCTTGCTCATACAATTGATGCAGCGCTGTAGTTGAATCACCCACTAAATTGCGTCTCCTCCCAAGGTGCTGCGCAAGGCTAGCGAGTTGACTTCTGACAGCGCGTAGTGCATTCTGAAGTTGCATATCATATATCGGCGCCGGAGGGAGTTCATCCTGGCGAACGTTGTAACGACTTTCATGCTGCTTCTCGTCGTCGTCATCATCGTTGTAGTCGGAGTGATCGTTATCCGAGTCTTTGTGTGTCGCGTTGTTCTCATTATCGCCAGTAACACTGTCGGCAAACACGGGCTCATGATGATTGTTGTCGGAAGCATCCTCGGAGGTATGTTTTGAGTCTTCTAGGCTCACTCTCGACATGCTCTTGTCCTTCAGAGGGGAGTTAGGTGTGCTTGCCCGCGGCTGCTGGTCCGGCCGACGGGAAGAGGGTCCGGCAGGACTAGGAGTGGCATTGTGAAGCTCTCTGTAGGTTGTTCCGCGGGATTTTGGTGTCGGGCTCAATCCAAACACTCTTTGCGCCTTCTGTGTGTAGTCAACCTGTGGCTCTTCAGCCGTTGGGGGCTGAACATGTTCACCGATCTGTAAGTTCTCGAAAAGGGACTGTGTACTTGGTGTGATCGAGCGCCGATGGCTACCTCAAGGACGTGGGCTTAATTGGTCCACGGACGAGGTTGGAGTTATGGCACCTCCAGCGGATGAAGGACTGCAAGAGAAGGTGAACTCAACGGATGGGAGCATCTGCTCACCTTTAGGTGAAGGTGAGGGTGTTCTGGGACTGCCTGTGTGGCTAGTCATGGCGCCCCCTTCTTAAACCAAACGCAACATTGAGAGTGGGGAAATGTTGCGAGGAATTCACGGGCCATCGCAGGCATTCTTATCAGAATCATCGAACGGAAAGGAACGGGAACTAAAGCCGTGGGCCGCATCTGTTCCCAGACTGAGAATGATTAGTGGTGGACGATGGTGCAAGTTGACTGCGCCGCCGGTCGAAATTCCGAAGCTATTTTTGCTTAGCCTGGCGCCAAATGACCGCGATGACGCGCTCGGCTACTGCTAGACCGGAATGTCATTGGGGGAATCTCACTTAGTAGCGACCGTCTTGTCGACCTCGGTAGAGTCTGGCAACAAGGAGTAGCTATCCTAGTCAACCGGGCGCAAGTCTTCTCCGGTTCAGCAGGCTATGTCAGTACCGCAGTTCCATGGTTTCGAAGCCCAGGTTTGTGCATTTATCTGGGAAGACAGGCTGTAAGAAAGACTTCGCATCATAGACAATGACCGGTTATGCTTGAAACAGTACACGAACCATCGTGAGGTGTCTGATTGACTGGTTCTGAGTTGCTTTCGGATAAAGAGCTGAAGTGCAAGGCTGACTGAACTAAAACGACCAGGGGGCAGTCACCTGATGATGCACGTAAGCACTATTCTATTGAGTTATATCGAATTACCCCTCATACAGCCTGGAGCATGCTTACCCTTTCCCCACTCATTCCCTCGCTTGTACGCAAATAATGTTCCGTCAGACATGCAGTCGATAGCATTCCTTGGAGTAAACTATGGACTCCAGATTGGCGACAACTCTGGTCCTATCTCAGCAGAGTTCCACCTTCCTCCAGGTCAGTCCAAGCCTGTAGCTATCGAGAGAAGTGTGACTGAAGCCAGGCTGCTATCTCAGTGCGACCGGAAACACCACCAGAGCCATTCTCCACCGTCCCGTTTGCGCGAGATGACGATTATGTTGCCCGCGGCTCGATTCTGGGCGAGATCCAAGCGAGGTGTGCAAGACCAGCGTCGAGGACGGCGCTTGTGGGGCTGGGTGGTGTTGGGTGAGACGTGAACCATGATCGCCTCGGCCTCTGCTGACATCTTTGAAGAAAATCGCAGCTAGCGATTGAATACTCCTATCGCGTGCGCGAAGAATCGCCCGCGACGTGGGTTTTCTGGGTCCATGCTAGTAACGCATCGCGCCTCGAGTTGAGCTACAGAGAGATCGCCGACCGTCTGCAGCTTCCGGGACGGCACGATGCTACAGCCAACGTCGTGCAGCTGGTCAACAGCTGGCTCTATAATTCGAAGCATGGGAAATGGATTTTAATACTGGATAACCTCGATGACGAAAGTTTGCTGGACGACCCACTGCGAAACAGTCAGGCAATCGACCCCGGCAACCAGACGCGCCCAGTGCACCAACCGCTGATAGGACTGCTCCCTCGCTGTCCTCACGGGGCGATCATCTTCACCACGCGAAACAAGGCGGTAGCACTCAAATTAGTTAGCGACCGCGACATCCTCCACATCAATCCGATGGATGCATCGTCCGCACTAGCCCTTCTACGGAAGAAGCTTACCATTAACACGGCGGATGAGGAAAAAGCGAGGAAGCTTCTTGAAGCGCTCGAATTCATGCCGCTGGCAATCATCCAAGCCTCTGCTTTCATACAGTATCACGCGCCACGGTACTCCATCGTGCGGTACTTGGAAGAGTTTGAAAACAGTAGTCATATTCTGGACCACGAGGCTGCGCAGCCTCAACGTGATTATGAGGCGTGCAACTCGGCTCTGAGGACGTGGCAGATATCTTTCGATTATATCCGCAATTCAAGACCGACAGCAGCAGATCTTTTGTCTTTGATGAGCTTCTTTGATCGGCAGGGCATACCGGAGTTGCTACTCCGGAGCACGACACAAGAGGAGGATATGAATGGTGAGATTAACAAGCGTCAGAAGGAGGAACAGGCGACGAGAAGATCGACCGATAGTGACTTCGACTTCGAAGAAGACATCCGCACTCTTCAAGAATTTTCCTTCATCGCAGTCCGACAGGACCCCAAGATCTTTGAAATGCACAGACTCGTTCAACTTGCCATAAAGCGTTGGCTTGAGAAGGAGGGCCTCCTGTCGCGGTGGCAGGAGGTATCCATGGGCAACCTGGATCGCATGTTCCCTTTCCAATCCGAGGATCAGGCCACATACCAATATCTATTTCCTCACCTCAAACAGGCAGTGGCTGTACAGCCAGCCTTGACAAGGTTAATGCCCAGTTGGGTCTCGCTGCTCATGAAAGGTGTAAGCCATGCAGCATCCTGCGGTGATTATCGAGACATGGAGCAAATGGGAAAGACCCTCAGAGATGCGAGTGAGCAGCTATTCGGCTCAGGGAACCTGATGGCTACTTTTTCCACTGAGATGGAAAACCTTGTCGCACAATACCAACGCGACCAGGACAAGACGATAGCGCGACACCTGGAAGTAATCAAGGAATGTCAGGCGCTCGGTGGGGAAAACCATTATCTGGCGCTGAAGGGCATGGATTCCCTCACGGATGTCTACATGTTGCAAGGTCGACTGCAAGACGCTGAAGAGCTTGGAGTAAAAGTCCTTCAGAGGAGCCAGCAGGTATACGGACGCAATCATCCTGTGACAATATCCGCTGCGAAGACGCTGAGACGAGTTTACACCAGACAGAGGAGGTGGAAGGCGGCAGAAGAGCTCGCTTTGCAGGACCTCTATTTTGCCAAGCAATTGGTCGGCAGTGAACATTCGAGGACGCTCGAGGCTGTCGAAGATTTGGGAAAACTCTACATGGTGCAAGGTAGGTGGCAGGACGCAGAAATGCTTCTGATGCCATTGGTCCAGACGCGAACGAGACTCTCAGGCCGGAAGGACCCTTCTACGCTAGCGTCGATTGCCCTGGTGGCGGAGGTGTACGATGGCCAGGGCCGTCTGTCAGAGGCAAAAGCACTGTATATACACGTGCTTGAGATGCAAGGCGAGGATCATACAGAAGATGATCCATTCACGACCAAAATCAGAGCAATCCTGGAGCGCAGAGACAAAGGACTTGACAGTACCACATCGCTTTACCGACGCATCGTCGAGTTTCGCCAAGGGCCTCTTGGTGACAAAGTGCTCGAGCTTATCGTCGCTCAAGGGGCTCCAAAATCGATCAGCATCAAAGATCACCTAGGAGCGATGTACTACAAGCACGGGAAATGGAAAGATGCAGAGGAGGTTTTCTTAAAAGCTCTTGAAACTCGAACCTCGGACCTTGGAGAAGCACATATTGATACTGTTAGCACCAGAGGCAAGCTGGGGGCTGTATATATCGAACAAGAACGGTGGGTTGAGGCAGAGGAGGTGTTTTTACGGACTCTGGACGTACTTTCTACCCGGAGCTTGCTGTCGGAAGAAGAACGCGGCGTCAATGTCGACGCTAGAATGAAGTTAGGAATTATTTTCGCCAAGCAGGAAAGGTGGAAGGGTGCAGAAGATCAATTTCGGCAAGTCCTCGAGAGTAACAGTGCTATCGCACGACTTGACGCGGAGCAACTCACCACCGTGTCGACCGAAATAGGGCTAGAAGCGCTATATAGCGGCCAGAAACGATTAAGCGACGCAGCAACCCAGTTTTCGGAGTTCCTTAGCAGCCGGGGGTGGATTCTTGGAGGAAAGCACCCGCGAGCTGAGATTGTGAAAGAGCTACTAGAGCTGGTGGACATGATGCAGAAACATTTGCAAACGGGGCACGAGCACGTGGTCAAAACCTTAGACCTTATGAAGCAGGCAGCTTGTGTCACGGCTTCCATCCAACTGATCCATGTCCTTCAGAATGTGTACACGGCACACTCACCGGTTCTGAACCAGATTGATGCCACCCAACAGGCACTGGAGAAGCTGATGAGCGAGTTGAACACCGCATCTCCAGAAGATAGATCTCTAACGTGGATGTCCTACTTGAGTTGGACAATCTTGGTTTCTATCTTCGCCGGGGCGTATGCATTCTATGTATCCTATAAATAGGAGCCCTTCGACGAGAAATTTCGGTTCTCGATTACCAGTGCCGACAGATTGCTGATCAAACAGCCCTGTGGCTTCAGTGGGTGAGGTAATCTAGTCCACCCATTCGAAGATCTCCCCTCGGCATACATCTGGAGGATTCTTTTGGTGGGCCTCTCCAACTTTATCGCGTCCCGAAGGTGCATGTGTCATGCGATACCTTCTCTATCCCTACTTTTCAAGATCACACCCCGCCATCCTTCAAAGCAGTTCATAATATGTCTCCGTATCCTGCACACCATTTTCTCAGCGTGAGGGAATTGGGATCCCAGTCGAGCCCATGGTTAAATGCAAGAATTGTCCGCTAAGCATCTTGAATCGTCCAGCCAGAAGGCAGCCCAGACTCCAACGGCAGAAAGCTGCTCCATCACCGCCACAGAGACACTATCAACTCTGTTCACAGCAATGACTTCCTGAGAAGACTCATAGCAGCAATGCTGACCCTGCCGCCTCCATTCCACGCACAGCACAGTCGATACTCTGTCTCGGAAGGGTTACATGCTCTCGGCGGTCGTAGCTCTCCCGCAGCAGCAGGCATACCCGTGATGCAGAATCATGGCTACGTTGACACCTGTTTTTAGACAGCGAAACATGGGTGACTATTTTACCGCTTCTCAGGAAAATAGTTGAATTCATGAATGCGTCAAAGTCTACCAACTTGCTATGCTAGGAACTCCCCTCGTGCATGAATTACGAAGACTAAAAATTATATGTAGACAGAACTGTATCTCGAAAAGAAACATCGACAAGACGCACGCACACTCTAACACCAGTCAAGGGACAACCAGCCACTGCCGCATGTAAAGTCCTGACAACCCTACCCAAACAACAACTTCATGCCTCGGAGATCTCCCTACCTACTTGAAACCCTCCGTTAACCCACCATCCAAAGGCCCTGCTACGATGATGAAAGCCAGCGAAATCTCCCACATCACCCCCCTTCCAACCACGTTATATAAAAGCCCACCCCCAATCTCCCATGAACCCATCAAGACCACACATCGCGACCCAACCTAGCCCAACAACCAACCTCAACCCCAACCCACTAACCCCCAAACCCACTAACCCCCATACCTGCCAAGCCACAAACCACCCAAACCACAAGCCACAAAACACAACCCATAACCCCCAAACCATCATGGCAACCAACCCCCTCACCATAACCTTCCGCACCTCGCCCATAACTTTCCACGCCCCCTGCCAACCCCCCAACCCCATCCCCAGAGGCAAATACCCGCACTGGAACGTGTACGCCGTCCCACACGGGCCGGAAACCTACAGCATCGAGGTGTGCTGGGTGCGGTGGACAGCCCCGATCAACTGGGTGGAGCTGGCGCTACCGGCGCTGCTACGCGGGTTCGAGTACCTGCGCACGATGTACCCGGACAGGAAGCCGATGTGGGGGACGATCTCGATGCGCACGGCAGTGCGGCTGTACCGCGAGCGGTTACGGGAGATTAGGCCGGACGCGGAGCTCGGCGAAGTGTATCGGGCGGGGCTGCGGGCGATGGACCAGTTTTGGGTGGAGAGGAAGCGCCAGTGGCATCCTATCGAGGATCGCGAGATTTTGCTGGTTTGGGAAAGCCTCATTCCAAGGAATGGGGAGGCGAATGTGGAGACGACGGGGGCCGAGGAGGAGGGTCAGGCCCAGGGAGGTGCGAGGATGAAGCTGTGGGAGGAGCGGACGGGGTCACAGCCTGGGCTGAATGCTGAGATTTGGTGGGACTGGATGCCCTGATACCTTTGCTTGGGGTTGTTGACTGTGCTCCGCTGTGACGGGCCTGGTTGATGACCTCAGATCACATACAGTAGAGACTTGAGTAAAATACAAATAGAACAATCACCCAAAAGGGCATATGAGACAAAGAACACATATCTTCGATACAAAAGAAACGCTTCAGATGGTGCTACACTGATGTTGCACTTCAGCTTTGTGATGTTGTGAATCGATATATCGTGTCTATTGGCAACAAGGGCTCATTCAAGGTCGGAAACCTATAATTTGTCATCATCGAGTAATCCCCACATGCGTACACACGGCCAATACTTGGCGTTCTCGATCGCAATCAAATCAGCAATCAAGATGTCATTCTGCCTCAGCGGTAGACGGCGTTGCTTCTCTTCAGCGCCCACCCAATACGACACCCGCGCCGTCACCACACCCTCGTCCTCCATAAATACCACTCCTCGGGGCCATGGCTTCGCCATATCATAGATCGACTGCAATTCCTTCTTCATACCTTCTTCCATGATATCGGACGTCAGGGTGGCGCTCATGAACCCTTCCTCCGACCGCCAGGAGCGAATGGCCGCAACCCCTCGTGCGCGGACGCCGTAGTCCGGACATCGGAAGATGCTGATAATCAACGCTGGCATGACTGCCAGGTCCGCTGTGACGGCCGGATACTCGCCACCAAATTTGGCCATTGCAGTCTCAGACGCGATAATCAGGGCTTCGCATTCGTGAGTCAGGCTCTCGGGCCATAGTTCACTTTTGTAGTAAAGAGCCACCTTCGAGGCGAGGATGCCCTGTTGGCAACTGAGCTTGATCAACTCCGCTTCGCGTTGTTCTTTATTGAGTCGAGATGTGCCATCTGCGCTGTCTGGGTATTCACGTGCGCAGAAGATCTCGAATTGGCAGAGGAATCGGTGGAAGTATGAAAGCAACAGCAGTTGGCGGTGCTGTAAGGATGCGTAGTCTTCTCGAATGTAGTTATCCGATGCCTTGAGATACAGCGCGGTAAAGAGGAAGTTGGCCTGGGTCAAAGGTTTCAACACCTGCTTTGCATGTCCCAGACTCTGAAAATGCTGCATATACTTTTCGTACGGTTGTCCAAATACGAAGTGGCTATCAAAGTCCAGTGGGTTGTCGGTGCCATAAAAGATGGACGATTCCTGCAGCTTCAGAAACATCTCCACCACACAGCTCTCCACCGAGAACCTGGGACCGGATGGCCCAGAGAAGGCGGTCTCCGAGCAAAGCTCCAGGCCCGTGATCTGCCGCTGGATCTTCATCACGTGTAAAATCTGAAGGCCGCCTTGGATGTGAAAATTGGCTCGATTGCGATTCCCATGGAGAAGCTCGCAGATCACGAATAAAAGACAGCAGACGAGGATAACCTCCTGCAGCTGGGGGTCTTGTGACAAGCGTCTCTTGTTCAACAGTGTTATCGCACGTCCAGACTGTTCCAGAGCAAACTAGTACCAAGTATTCTGCAGATGCACAGTGCTCCGTCCTGGTCGGGGAATACAGCCTGCGATCTCGTTGGCCTGGTTGACGGCCCCCAGAGCAATGACCGCGTGATAGATGGCTGGTTCTTGGTAGCATAGGCGGAAGATCACCTGCTGCCATAGAAGTGAATCATAAAAGCCGACCAAGTGCTCTACCGATCTATGTTGGAAGAAAGACAGGCATCGGCGCTCGTCTGAAGTTGCCGTCCACTGCAGCTTGCGGGCCATGTCAGCGGGAATGGTGAAAGCCGGAACAAGGTTCCCAGCCTTACGCCGACCACCTCCAGGAATAAGTCGGTGTACATCGTATCCGTCACAAGCCCTACCAGACTTGTTACAATTGTTACAAGCGACAGGAGTTTCATCGCACTTGACGCGACGAGCGCTGTATATCTTTAGCCTGGGCCATAGCTGACCACAGCGTGGTAGAGGGAATTATGACTTACCGACATGTGCGACAGCCTGTGCGGGATCTTTTCGCGAAAGCTTTCTTGCGTGTGTTGAGCATGATGGCTTTGTTTCCGGGTGCGGATCTGATTTCGTCGGCCGATGATAATTAGACAATCGACGAAGATTGTGCGCTTTAAATGTGAAAGCTGAGGTTGTCCACAAAAGAGGCTAAATAAGTGCGTGCAGGGGTGTATGACTGGTAGCCAATCATTGCGATACGTAGCTGATCCGATCATTATGCTGGAAGGGCGCCGTTGCTGGCCTAACCGAGACGACAGTAGTTAGTCCTGGTTAGATCGAAGCTAACTTCAGAGTACCGTACTTGATTCGATAGCAATGCAACAGAATTGAATTTGGGGAACATGCAACGTAGCATACCTCTTGCCATCAGGGAAGACCTGCACCCACCGATTGTCCTATGCTGGCTTGTCAAACACGGACGTCATATTCTCTGATATCCAAGGCTGGAAGCCTGGACCTCCAATCCGCCGAGCATTCCGAGATTCGATCCAACGAGTGGGACCACGATTCCCAGACGACATAGCCAATTATCGTCCGCGAATTGGTCTGTCAGTTGACCCACATTGGAACTCAATGTCATCGTCGTTTTGATGAGGGGACTGAATAGCTTCCCATCAGGTTCATGGAATGATACTTGGTCGCAGATCTGACCGCGTCGATTATGCCGGTTACCTTCACGTGATTAGAAAGCAGCAAGCCCCTAGCAGCATGCTACTGCACAGACGCAGTGCAGCAGCTGGTGCGTATACCAAAAACCGGCTGGCGCTCGGGTATGATATACCTCAGAACGAGAAGCACATGGAATTTGGAGCGAAACGATCCTGCCATTGAGTTATACCCATTCTATCGTGCAGTTCGTTCTTGTACCGACAAACCTCGAAACAATATGTTGAGTAATTCGGTGTGCTTGATGGGAGTATCATAAACACACCGATCATGCTTTCCTTGCTTGACTTGTCACGATGGAGAGCATAAAGTCCGCTCAACGATGGGTTTGCCATAAATACACCGGAGTAGTGCTAACCCAAGTCGTGAAGTGGCTGCATTCTTGTAAGTCGGAATCCGCCTCGTATTTAACCCTACTTATTCGAAGGATAGAGGTTACCGCTAGCGAGACGGCGGTAAATGGTGTGGCCTGGCCATGAGAGATCTTTGTGCTCTTCCTTATGATGTACTCGAGAGAGAGCGCGACTATTGTAAAGGCCGGTGCAATCATCATGTTAGATAGCCATTCGACTAGCAAATTATTATTGTGATCGAAGACAACTTGAAAGTACACATCTTAGTCGAGAGAGCATTCTTGAAGTGCATGAATCCTGGGATCATGGATGTTGTTCCGGCTTCAAGTTTCTCGCCGAGAGTCCTGGTACTGGTCGATCGCACGAATTATATCATCGCCTTCCCATTTCATAGACTCATTGTGAGGCATGATACAAGCACTGCAAAAGGAGATTGATTGCTTGCCGCATGCAAAGATGTAAAGTGAGTCCTGAGAAAGCCATAAATAATGAGAATCAGGGAGGTGCTGTTGTTCCCTGGGAGTGTACAGGCCGTGTGGCTGGCACAGGAAAGAGTATCTGTTGTTGGGTCACGTGGTAGACAGTCCTCAATCCTCCTTCCTTCATCTTCCTTCCATCTGCACTGTCTGCACCGTCCGTCCGACAGTCCCAATCTCTTCCAGATGATGTCCGGACCTTTGCGCTTTGTTCACCATCGGCGGGTCCATTTCCTATACAAGCCTTCCTATTATTTTCTCGGCAGACATATCCTCCGTTCTTGTGATGCGCACAGACAATATGGCTGCCATATGTGAGGTGTGCTATAGCACCTGTTCCGAGGGGAAGATGCGGAGCAGTGCTAGGGGACTTCTGTGAGTATAATCTAGTGGGCCTATCCGTGCACTATCAGGTGATTGAAATCTGACTGTCGATCAAAAGGTACCGACCGGGGTTGTCCTTGATTTTGCGCAAATCTTCATTAGTACCTGACGGTCAGAGCGTAGACACACTCTATATCCCGCATTATCCGGTCGCAGCAAGTCGCTCAACTCGCACGATGCTATCGCGAATGTCTCCAGTTGATGAATGTGGCATGTTAGTGCCTAGTGAAGGAACAAATCATTCACGCCGAAAAGAAGCCATAGTTGGTCCAGAACCGGCAATTTGTTGACTCGTCAATTGTGACAACCGACGCGGCTGGACTTCTTTGTTCACCTATGCTTGGCTCGGTTCGTGCAATTTATACTTTCTGGGTCTGTTCCGCCCTGACCACAATTACTTTCTTTGTTGAAAAAGGTCCCGACTGGAAACAACCCAACAATAAAACCAAACCATGGGTCTGCGTCGTCCCTGCTTTGGTGCAGCCATAAACCTCACAATGGCTGTATCCTCGCGTCCGATCACGTCCCTTGTCTTGATGGACCTGTTTGGTGGACTGGGCGCTCTCATCATGATCCTGAGACTCTTTCTACGCAAGTATCGGCACCAACGGTTCGAACCGGCCGACTACTGCACCGTTTTCTGTTTGGTGACGCTTCTTGCCTGCGTCAGTCTGCTGACTGCGATAAGCGTCATCACCTTGACTCGAGACGCCCGCCTCCAAGCCCAACACTTCACGGATAAGTTGCTCGAGGAGCAGTTGTTGAAGAACAAGATGCTGGTGGCCCATCAGGCCATATTTCGTGCCTAGTACGGTTCCCAGCAAAGTGGATGGCGGGTGATTGCTGACAGTTGTAGTCTTTGGGGCCAGAAGGCCGTTGTTCTTCTGTTTATCTCGCGCGTCTTGGAAGGTCTTGCGTGGCCCTTCATCTTCGTTCGCATCAGCTGGGCCATACTACTACTGAGCTTTGGGGCTGTGGAGCTGGAGATGTTTATGGTCTGTGATTACCGCAAGAAGAGTATGATCGCTGCTGTTGCTTCATGTGCCAAAATGACTGACTGTGTGATATCAGAACCTTGCCTCGGACGTGTTGGCAACCTCGTCGCCTATATCTTGCTCAATGGCCTTACCGATCTGATACTCATTGTGCTCCCTCTTCCATGGCTGATTCGGGTGAAAAGACCTTGGCATCGGTAGATCCTCCTTCCTTCCCCAAGACTCTGTGAGACTCGCCTAATCAACCCAGTCGCCTTCAACTCATCGCCCTCTTCTCGGTCGGCTTCCTCTGCATTATCGCCACCATCCTCCGCGCTCCCATCCACCGCGACACTCAAGACCTTGTCGGACAAGGCTACTGGACTGCGGTTGAGTTCATTGCGTCGGCTATCGTTGCCAACTTTCCCACACTATACAGTCTGCGCCGTGCAAGGAAGCCAGAAACCCCGATCTATCCTGACAATCCCTACCCAGCCCGACGTGGGGGCTCCAAAGTCCGGTCGGCGACCAGCATCGAGCTGCAGGAGTCATTGGACATGGACCATCTGGATGCCGATCCACGGATGAGCGGAAAGATCACCAGCCAAGCGAGCAACGAGCCGTTGTTCTTCAAGGATTCAGAGACGGAGAGTCTCCGGGTCGAGGGGCTTCGGTCTAGAGGTTAGGTTGTTTTTGGAGATTGTGCATATGGCTCTGTGGCATATATGCATGAGATGATTGGTAAATGATAGTATATTAGACACACATGACGTAGAATATAGCCCATAGCGGGTAGAGACTGGTTGGGGACATATACTTCGGACGCAGTTGCGTGAGGTATGTGCTATGCCTTGACATGTGTTTTTATTATCATATTAATCTGGAGCATGACACCTATTCTTGCTCCATGTTATATATTCAAATTCTCATCGGGTCTAGCTACTCAATTTGAGGTTCCGTCCTGAAAAAGTCAGTAGCAGATACTCTGTCCTTGGTCGTATTGCAACGACCTTGCTCCCTCCGGCCGCGTTACGCCTCTTTACCTTGTTTCCTTAGGGCTGTTACCTCACCGATAAGGCATCATACAGCATCCGCGGTATTTACATCCGCAATCGTCGATTGTACGGCTACGACAGACCTTGGAAATAAACACTCAAGTAGGCTCAGCACCTACTGAGAACACCAAGTTTGAGTATTTGTCGTAACTCCATTCTTATTGAATGCACAGATCAAGGACGGCTTACTGAGTCTCCTCACAGTCGACCCATCACAACTGGAGGTAACTACATTGGAAGCACACTATCGGACAAAGAATCCAGGGCCCGTACCTGAAATCATCATGTCACGACAAAGCCATTATCTGCATTCTCCACAACCCCTCAACGTCTCAAAGAGCGAATCTACGACAAAGTCAAGAATCTCCCCTACAGAGCCCATCAGCCGACAATCGCAATCCTGGATAAAGCCAAAACCAGTCTATATAAGGCCAGCACTGTCAACACAAAGCCCCCTCCCCTGTCCTCCCCACCCCCATCCATTGTCCCAGTCCCTTCGAGACCACCCCATCTGAACAGCACAACAATGCCATCCAAGAAAAGACCCCCACCGAGTCGCTCCCCCAGCCCAACGCGGCGACCACCGCCTCCATCCCCACCCCGTCCACCAGCAAGCCGGGACGCAACCCTCTCCCCTCCCCCTCGAAGCACCGCAGACCCCAGCGACAAAGCCAGCGAAACCGCCAAAGACACCCCCAAAGAAGAAGGCGAACTCTCCCCGGGCCCAGCGCCGGGACAAGGCTACACGCTCGAGGACATGACCTACCCGCCCTTCGACGTGCTGCTGCACCCGATCGGCGCGCGGACGGAGACGGTGAACCTGATCTTCCGGCGCGTGACGCCGTTCTTCCGGTGGGAGGACGCGGTGCCGGACCTGCTGGGGTGCATCCAGGAGCAGCGGGAGCTCCGGCCGCACGCGGCCCCCTTCGGCGGCTCGATCTACTGCCAGGGCCTGATCCGGTATTTCCTGGAGGTGCTCCCGCCGGTGCCCGGGACCGAGTCGCCGTACCTCATGCAGTTCCACCATTGGGGCCACACGGTGTTCGACACCGAGTCGACGGACGCGACGGTCGCGTGGATGAGCACGATCCCGCTGAATCCCTCGTTCGAGGAGGAGTGGGCGCTGGAGATCTTGGCTTTTCTGCTGGCGTGTGCGCTGATCACGGTGCGGAGGGGCTGGGTGCGCGATTATCGGGAGAGGAAGATGAAGTAACTGCGATTTCTTGTCTTTCTTTCTTGGGATATTGGGGTATGTATGATATCATCTCAAAAAATATTACAGTTTTGATCTGTTGGTGTGTTTCTTTCTTCGGACGTAGTGCCAGGTCGCCTTGTGTAGAATTTGAATGTCGGTTGGTGCGTATTTTTCTTTCTGATCGCTTTTGTCTGTCTCGATTTAATCTCCCCTTGCTGATACTGCAGAGCAGACTCGAATGTCAGATGACACCAGCTCAGCTGCAGCACAATCAATTCAAGGGACTAAAACTGGATCAAGACTAGTGTCTTTGTCTCTCACGCCTGAAAGCCCAGGGTAAGACAAGAGTCGTTCGAATCATGGCCCTCTAACAAAGACCCAATGTACGGAACCGTCAACACACAAAGCCCTACTTCGACTGTAGCGTAAGTCCCCACCACTAAACAAATAACCATCGGCGTCACCATCCCAGTCTCATCAAGCAACCCACTATATATCCTCCATCCCCAACCCACTCAACAACACCTTCAACCCCGTACCCAGTCTACCCCCACCGCCAAAATGCAACAGACCTACCCCTTCGAAATCAGCACCATCACCCCCACCCAACAAGTGGTGCTAATCGCCCCGGAGCCACGCGAACGGACCACCCAGACCTTCGACTGGGAGGTGCTGGAGCGGCGCCTGCGGGCCATCTTCCAGGAGCTGCGGCAGATGCGGCCGCGCGCGCCGCTCTTCCACGGCCTCATCCACGCCTTCGAGCATGTGCGGTGCTATCGCGAACTGTCCCGGGGCGAGACCGGCACTGACCAGGGGGTGTATCTGTATGAGTTCGACGGGGAGCCGTCGCTGGACTGCTTGCTGGATAATGAGATGTTGTATGGCTGGTTGCTGCGGGTGCCGAGGTGGGTTCCGTTCCGGCTGGATGATTTCCCCGGTGCGTCGATGGATGCGCTGGGGATGGAGGCTGGGGTTGGGGGGGCGTCTTCGGCTGTGTAGTGTCGTTGTTGGGTGTTGACCTGCGAGTGGTTGGTGGTTCTGAGGCCTGTTAGCCAGGCTGCTCACTGCGTGCCATGGCAGGGGTGGATGGCTCCGCTCAGGTAGTCTGATTCATTATTCTCCCACGTCCTTTATACGAGTACTTTTTACAACGAATTTAATACAATTGTTTCCAAATTTTGTCATCTTAATATTCCTGTTCGTGGTTAGTGAATTGCATCATCATTTTCGTCTCTCCATCTGGCGAACTCCTGTTGCACTTTCGCTATTAAGTGCATGTCTTGCAAGGCAGTAACACGGCTAGCTGGAATACACCTAGGGCTCCCGTTCTGTCTGCATCCGACTCTGCAACACTGCCTCCAGCCACTCTCAAGGTTATTCTCGTCGAAACAGCCATCGCATATCTCAGGCATCAGCTTACACCTGAACCTATAAGGTGCCAGCATTTCCTGATTATCCTAGTAAGAAAGTTGCCCGCCCCACCAGGGCCGATCTGCAGCAGCGGGTTCGTACTCGTACTCGGCACCGTTTTGAGCATCGCTTACCGCCATCCATGCTCGTTTGATGCCGCGACCACCATGCAAGCGCGTTGTAACAACCCCGATGCCATTGGCGCATCCAATTTGCTGCCTTGTTTGGGATGCGATGTCCTGACCTAGGGAGTATGCATTTACCACATCATCAGCAGCAGCAGCAGCAGCAGCAGTAGTATGGCAGATGGTACGCTCCAGGCTGAAACAATTCCTGTGTGGTAGCCAGCACAGATAAATACCCTTCCCCCTGCCTCTTGCTATGTGATCTCCTCCTGCATTCCACCAACACTGCAACAACACCATTAACGCACCATGAAGCTCACCCTCCCCACCACCCTCCTGCTCGGTCTAGCCAGCGCGCACCCGCATCACGGGCCCGCGGACATCTCCCACTGGCAACCAGCCGGAGCAGACGACTGTACGTCCTTCCCTCCAGCCCCAGCCACCAACACAGCCGACTGAACCAACTCGAACACACCGAACTAACAATAACAATGGACACCAGACCGCGGCCCCTGCCCGATGATGAACACCCTCGCCAACCACCACTTCCTCCCGCACAACGGCCGCAACATCACGCGGCCGCGGCTGATCGAAGCCCTAGGCTCTGCACTGAACTTCACCTCCGCGCTCGCCACGCTGATGTTCGAGATGGCCATCGTCGTGAACCCGGAGCCCAACGCCACGTCCTTCACCTTGTGCGCCAACCCCCCTTTCCCTTTCCCCGGTCATCATTTCATTCAATACCACAGGCCCACGCACTAACCACCCAAAAAGGGACCAACTCAACCAGCACAACATCCTCGAACACGACGCAAGTCTCAGGTCCGCCCCCTCTTACCCCTTTCCCAGTCTCAATAACTCCCCCACCCCTCACCTGTAAATGCTCATTACCAGGACAATAGTCGAAGCGACGCCTACTTCGGCAACAACCACATCTTCAACGCGACCATCTTCGCCCAAACCCGCCGCTACTGGACATCCCCCGTGCTCGACGCGGGCATGCTGGCCAACGGCAAGCTGGCGCGGCAGGTCGAGTCCAAGGCGTTCAATCCGACGTACACGTTCACGGCGCGGACCGAGGAGTTCAGTCTCGGCGAGGTGGCGGCGCCGATCATCGCGTTCGGGGATCTGGGGTCTGGCGAGGTGAATCGCACGCTCGTGGAGTATTTCTTTGGTATGTATGCCTGCACCTGGGTTGCGGGTGGATGACGGTGCTGATGAGTGCTGTGTGTAGAGCATGAACGGTTGCCGGTGGCGTTGGGGTGGAAGACCCGAGGCGAGGCGGTGGGGGTGGAGGAGGTGAATGCGGTGGCGGAGATGATTCGGAATGCGACGGGGTTGATTACCCCCTCTGGGTCGGTGGCCGTGTCAGCGGGGAGGAAGAGGGATTTGCATTCTGGGTGGCGGGGTTAGTGCGCTCTTCGTATCTTTGAACTGGGGGGTGAAGGGTGGTTTGTTATGTGTGGTAGTGGCCTGACGGAGAAAGGGAGGGAAAGTACAGCCTAGTTCAATCTGCTGCGGGCACAGAACCAGGGAGAATGTACGGAGTACGGAGTGTCTACCAACATGCCATTCATTCTCGCCCGCCAAGACACTATCATCAAAGCATGGCACTAACATCCTCTGGGCACCCCTGAAATCTCCTTGAAACCACTTCATCCCCAACCGTCCACCTTCGTCCGAAAAGGAATAGCGGAATGGACCTGCAAGGCTGCCCAGCCACCGTTCCCTTGGCCTCCCCTGGGCCTCCCCTTGGCGCTCCGCTACCGAGTCCCGCCAAGCCCTTAGCCTCACTCGTCCACTCCCACGCTCACGAGCGCATCTAACGCATTGAGTCATTGCAGATATCGGTGTGCCAGCGAGGACACCGATCTAATCTGATCAGGCAAGATTTGAAGTCCACCGGGTGGGAGACAAAAGGTACGGCCCGTGAACCGTGAGGGCGCCAACCACGCATGCGGAGATACTTTGTACCTTTCTGGGGTTAGGGGTCGGAATGGATACGAGGCGACGGCATTAGCTCGTGATTCCGGGGAGTTGTGCTCTGTGGTTGTTAGCGTTTGGTTTGTCGATTTCATTGGATGCAATTGCTGTTTTTATTGAGTCTGTTGCGGTGTTGCGCGGGACTCTCTATTTGAAGTCGGTTTGGGGGATATTTGTGGTAGCGTGTCTGTAGGGTGGGCGGTACGTATTGACTCTGATAAAGTCTTCCAGCATACTGGATTGACTGGTGCACAGCTTCATCGAAGGTGGACCATGTTTGGTATACCATAGCGGATGCTGAAACCCCCCCCCAAACTCCTTTGGAACTAACGGCGAGGGAAAGACCGATATTGAGGGAAATGTATCACACCAGACCTTCTGATTAATTTCTAAGATTATAGAATAATATCCAACTATAATACACAACCCACCAGGCAGAGTACACCTTACCCCCTAAGCGGCATCACTCGCACTCGCCCCAAACCCCCCCCAAGACCCATGCTAAGCATCTAGCAAGAAGCACCGCTGGGCACGTTCTTGCAGGACTTCTTCTCCTTGCCACCGGAGATATCAACGCCCTTCCAGGTCCAGTCAGCGCACGAACCAGAACCGCACAGGATGTAGACGGGCTGGGCGGAGCTCTTGACGGAGCCGGTGACCTTGTTGATGGTGACGTCCTTGATGGGGATGGTGTTGGAGGGGGTGCCGGTGGGGGAGCCGTTCTGGTAATCCTGCTGGATGACGATGCCGTACTTGGCGATGTTCTCGAGCTGGATGTTGTCGTAGGTGATGTCGGTCACGGAGCCGGTCTTCTTGTAAATGGTCTTGATGCGCACGCCGTTGTCGGAGTTGACGACGTGGCTGTTGGTGATGTGCACGCCCTTGACGACGTTGTTGTCGCGGCCGCCGACGGAGCCGATCGACAGGCCGTGGCCGCCGGAGCAGTAGCCGCCGTCGAAGTAGATGTTCTGCCGTCGTTAGGTTGCTTCCTTGGGGATGCGTGGAGGGGGAAGGCAGGCTCACCTCGCCCGAGTTGATGGCCAGGCAGTCGTCCTGGTTGTAGACCTTGGCGCCGCTGATGTAGACGCCGTTGGACTCGTTGACGTCGAAGGCGTCGGTGTTGTGGCCGCCCTTGCTGTCGCCGGCCGAGTTGTCGATGGTCACGCCCTCGATGTGCACGTCGTTGCCCTGCACCGAGATCGCCTGCACGGGCGTGTTCTTGATGTGCAGGTTCTTGACGTACGAGCTCTGCAGCTTGTGCGCGTACATGAACTTGGGCTTGGTCTTGCCGCCGTTCGTGCCCTTGCCGTCCCACCAGCGCTCACCCTGCGCGTCGATCACGGCGCCCGAGGCCGCGGTGAAGGTGACGCCCTCGCCACCGAGGCGGATCAGGGGGCCCTTCCACTCCTTGTAGCCGAAGGTGGTGGTGCCCTCGAAGGTGACCTTGCGGATGATTAGCATAGGGGTGGTCGAAGGGGGTCACGAGAGACATACAGTGGAGCCCTTCTTGGCACCGGACAGGTCAAGGGTCTGGCCGGCGGGGACCTTGATGTTCTTCAGGATCGAGCTGGAGCACTTCTTGACGCCGGCCTTGGCGGAGGCAGCATCGGTGAAGGTGCAGGAGGATCTCTCGACGAGATCTCTCTCAGCGACATCGTGGGGGGCAGGGGCCGCAACGGCGAGGGAGCCGAGAGCGGCCAAGGTGAGAAGATCGAAACGCATGGTGGATTAGTTTTTATTCTGGTCAACAGAAATCGGAGTGAACGAAAGAATGACTGAAGGTCTGATCTGATCAACAGAAAGGAAAGAGTGAATGAGAGAGAGAATGAGGGAATGTGTGTGAGGAGAGAGTAGTGGAAGACTGGGTTTTCGCGACGCTTTATACCCGGATTTATTGTAGCATCTTCTGATGGTAGGGTCCTCAGGCCCAGGGGATGATATCCGCACCTCCACCGGGGTGTCAGTCTCTAACGGTGGCGTGAAGAACGAACCCTGCTTCAGGAGACAGTTCCTGCAGGCGAACCAGGGCCTTCCTGCATTGCCGGAGTTCCTGCGGTGGAGAAAGCTCGGCAGCTTCGTCGCAGCTTCACCTCCCGCTCCACAGTGGAGCAAGCCAAGAGCCAGCTCCTCAAACGGTCTGCTCCCAAGCCCAGGTGTAATCCAGCTGATTTGTCAGGTTTCGAGTTGAAATCAATCCCAAGCAATCATTCCGAACGGTGCAATGCTGGGCATGTGTGTGGTGCTCTTTACATTACCTAACATCGAATCTTCGAATGTTCCATGCCTGGTTCTTGGGGAGAATCAAACGAGCACCCAAACACCACCCAAATTCCCTTCAGCTTTCTCCGCAGTACTGAAGGCTGAAGCAGTAGACGTTCCAACCCACGGCACGATAATTCAAATTCCCTACATACAGTCAGCAATAAATAGCCGAACCCCATCTCGGCAACAATAAACAACTAGGCAACAACCACCCCCTCCTCGGCTAATATCAATCTAGGGCACAAGGGTCCAGTCCGGGCGGTGAGCGCAATTTCCGCGGACCCCCATCCCAAGCCTCCCCCAAGCCACTAAAAAGCTTGTCTCGGCGCGATGGTCGGGAAACCTGCTGCTTCGGGGGGTGTCTTTCCTGCTTGGCCCTGCAGGCACGGGCCCCACGCGCCAGACAATCCGGGTCTTTCGGACCAGCGCCCAGGACCCCTGATTCATTTTGGCCCGGCGGCCTGAACTCCTCGTACTCAGTAGGCTAATTAGAGGTGGACGGTCCGGTCGCCGGATCATCCGGAAGGGTTTGCGCTGCTCCTGCTCACGGGTAGGGTAGTCTACAATCCCCGTCCGCGCTGGGCAATCATCTCCCCTCTGAGTTACGGACCGAGGATCTGCCCGATATTCATGAATCGTTCACGCGTGAAAAGTAACTTTGTATTCACTGTTCTGGTGGGATAGTAGACTAAGGCTTGCCCAGAAACCCAGTCCCATGCATTATCGACACCAAGCCTTCCCAACCCTCTAGCCTGAACCAGACTACCACTCATAACAGCCGTCGATATAAGGTTATCCGACCGATTTCAGGCAATACCACCACCAGAGACAACCGGCGGTGAATTAGGGGGAATAGATTAAAGGAAGCTGGTTTAGATTAACCCCCCTTCCCCCCCCATCCTCTTCTCCCCTCTCACTATCGGGTTGTCCCCAAATGCAGCCATGCAACTAGCTTGGCTAAGACACCGCCGACAGTGCCCTCCCTGGTCCTCCGCTTCGCCTCGGCACGAGTATCCAACGAGAAATTCCAAATACTATGCAATTTAACTAATCGAAGGATGAGACATCTGACGGTATTTGACAGGTGTATGGGGGTGGTTGTTCTGGATGGCATGTTTGGCCGGTTGCTGTGCCAAGGTGGCTGGACTCTGGACTCTGGTTCTGAATCGGGTACGGAGCTGTCCAGCGTATCCTCGTCGCATGCGGGATAAGCAGGGCCTAGGGCCACGCTGAGCTGCTTTGCGTCCTTGCCAATTTCTTCTCTTGCTCAATTACTTCCACCAATCGAACAAAAGAATTGAGTCCAACCCTCCTGCATTTATGCACGGCATGTCAGCGCCGTCGGGAGTTGACTGCGTGCGAAGGGTAAATATGCGGGCGACTGTGCCGAAGCTTGTTGTGTCCGGTTTTTCCGAGATTAACGGCATCCCCATGCCTACAGCCCAAAAAAGACATCGGCCTACGTCATATCTTCAGCGAAGGTGCACAAAATTGTGTCTGGATCTCCAGTTGGGTCCTTGGAATCATCCTCATTCGATTTGAAATTAACTATGATTGGCAATGTAGGTCCGCTTGCCAGGCAAGAATACAGGAGCCGAGGCTGAACAAACATTTTGACTCCGCACATTTCCAGTAAAAAGAAGGTCCAATTCCAAGGCCTTTATGGCTGTCAGCCTGTCCAATGGATAGAACAGCTGCGCGGATGATGCTATGTACAGTCGGGCAGTTGTATTGAGGGCAAGTAGCTCGCTCCTCAAGAAGTATAGTGGTGGATCGAAGTCGACCGTGTTGTCCACTGCGGGGATAGAAAGAGGCCTGGAATCCTCTTATTCGGGACATGGTATGGTCGGCGAGCTGATTCTTGCCGTTGGCGGTTGGACCATGTGCTCTGCTCGATAAGCGTGAGCAGCTTTCGCCTTGGGCTCGGTCGGACTCGACCCCGCAAGTCCATAGGGAGATTCTGACGCGAGGGAACCGTTTGACACGATGGAACCGTTCGACACGCCTGAGAATTAACGCTGTGCAGGTCGATCAAAGATGTTCCATCTTTCATCTCGAGAGGATGATATTGAAGCCTGGGATCGCTCAATCTCATCCCTTCGGCTGATCCATCAACTGCGTCACCTTCTTCAGAGACACCGGTTTCGTGACGAAGACGTCCACGCCAG